GGATATTTGAGATAATACTGAATAACCTGGATGTCTAATTTGTTATATTGATATTGCATAATACTATTGCTAAGTAAAGTATAGCGATAGTTTAGAATAAAATAATAATCTATCTGTTATCTTTTAAAATAAATATCTTTTCTAATTTGTTTACATCTTTCCATCAAGACCTTCAAGCTCAACACAGCATTTGCTAAAAAAAAAAAAGGTCCCCAGCAGTTGTAGTTGAAATTACACGGCGCAATATCCGTTTAGGATTTCATATTATATGTTCAGGGCACCAACGCACCGATTTGGGCTCTAAAAACACAAGTGCTATCTGCATCACTGTCGAAACAAACGACAGCATTTTACCCAAGACTTCAACAGCACCAAGCAAAGGCCGTTAACATTAGTCCTAATTGCATACCGTGACAAAATTCAAATTGTGCCGTGCATGACTGCCTTTTTAAATGAACAGACGTTATCGTTGGTTGTTGATCTCAAGGCAAGCCGTATTTCTGCATTGGTGTCTAAATTGGCGTTGTTATAGAAACAAAATTATTCACTGGCCAGCTGAATAAAACTAAAGCAACAGCTCTCTATATATAGTTGTGGCATTGACGTGACTATTAAATGCTACTAGTACCATCAGCAATTCCGTGCTGAGCTTTATATGGCTGCAACCAGTGTCCATCCATCATACCAGTGATCTACTGCACTGTGCAAAAGCTTGGTACATGGCTCCGTAGTCTGGTAATATCACGGTTCCTTAACTTCTTCACAAGAGGGATACTCTTCATTGGATGCATCTGATTTAAAATGTACTATCAACGATATCTTCAGGCATGTCCTCGGATTGGAATGGGTGTGGTTTTCGATTTCTTGTTTGTTATGATGGGCATACTAGGCACCGCAGCCATACCAAGGTCCTGTCCACCAGGCTGGGTGCATTATGGTCACTCATGCTACAAGGTGGACAGTCCAATCAAAGTTTCCTGGATCCAAGCCTTTGAGACTTGTCACAGTCTCTGTGCTCAGCTGTTTGTACCAAACTCTCTGGACGAAAAACAGTTTATCGGGAAACAGGTGCAGGCTCAAGAGTATTTCCACGACACTAAGGAAAATGGAGGGAAAATTTGGCTTGGTTGCACAGATACTGATAAGGGCGTTTGCACCGTTAGTGATGACCAGCAACTTCAAATCCTTGGCAACAGCTGACAATCACAAATGCCTTACGATGAGTGCTAATTCCTTGGAGTTAATTGAAAAGGACTGTTCTGACGTTAAATTAGGCACATGTGAGCGCAAACAGGATAGTCCGAAAGCTGTCCATTGCTTCGCTGCCACTGACCCAGATGATGACAAGGCCCTACCCTACTGTCTGCTTGACCACGCCTACATGGAAATCCCCATCCTGCACCCGATGCAGTGTTGCATTGCCTGCTACAAGGATCCTGATGACTGCCACTCCTTCAACCTGTCAGGGAAGATGTGCCAACTCAACAATGCCACTATCTCCCAGGTTGGTGATCGATTTCTGATCAAGTCCAAGAACTGTGTCTACTTTGATCTTGAGTGACATACCCTGCCAGTTATCAAAGCTCAGCCCTCAATGCCAAATGAAAAGGTCCGCGCATACGAAAACATTTCTGTAATAACCTGCAACAGCCTAGACGTCTTTGTTAACCTATAAATTCGTCTTGTCGATGGTCTAGTCTGCAGTGTTACGTATTTTGTATGAAATAGTGAAACTTTAAAATGCCGCCGGAGTATTACCAAGTTGGTGACATGGAAAACTCTTCTTCAACAGATACTTGTACTTTGTGCCAATCCTGAGAAACTTGCCGCTCGTAGAAAATCAGAGCCAATATGAAAACTAATCGCGAGTGCAGCAATGGTCGTCTTGCATGAAAGTCTTGCATGGAATGATTGTGCATTTAAGCCTGGGCCTCCGTTTTACGCGAAAATCACGCTGGTTAAATTTACACGGAGAAGGGAAATAAAATGGAGCTCAGACAAAACAAGTAGAAAGATATTTTTTACATACTGTACGATACGTAGTGGGGATAATATGATACAGGTAAAGTTTTCGAATGAGAGGTTGTGCATCATAGACAATTTCATACAATTGACATAAAATTGGCAACAAAATTTCTTTAGTCACATGTCATGTATACTCATTATCAAAATTTGGGCCAAACTGAATCAACACTGGCGATCTACAAAGTGCAATGCTAGGATTAGACAAACTAACTTAAGATGTAAAATGTGATTTAAATGTAGATGTGCAATACACCAAGTGATGTTTACAAGTTGCTTAGTAATTTTGATGTTTGGTATGTAAAGTTACATGTTGATTTATTGCTCTAAGATGTGGAAATATAAAGACTACTGACTCTTTGCACAAGTACCGTAGTACCCCCTCAACGGCTAAAACGTGTGAGTTGGGGAGGACCTCTGAGAGGCCCTCATGAATGCATTTCCGATGGCACCTGAAACACATGTGAAGACAACCCAAGGGCGGATCCAGAACACAATTTTTTGGGGGGCCAAAAAATTTTTTTTTTGGATTCTCCATGCTCTGTGGTGCGATCTGAGGCAATTTCTGACCACTCTAGCCAATGTTTTTTGAGGAAAAGATGGTGGTGTACTCATTGCCTGCCTTTATTTCGACGTCACATAAAAAAACCCAATTGGTTTCGTTTTTTGGGCGGGGGGGGGGGGGCATGGCCCCCTTTGCCCCCCCCCCCCCCCCCCCGGATCCGCCCTTGAGACACCCAGGTTCATGCAAATTCAGAATTAAGTCGTGTGTGTCACTCCCGTTTAAAGAGCTCTCGTGAATGGTGACGAAGTGTTATCTATACTGTTTCTGCATGAGTCCATATACAATTGTTTTAGGATAACAAATGTTTATACAAAGTATATCTTACAATCCCGGCCAAAAATGGTTGGGACACACTTCCTGAGCCTGCCACGGTCACCCACTCCCCCGCTCCATGTTGTTCTCTCCAGCTGATGGAGCACACACCGCGCAATGAGAGACAACATTGAACGGGGGCGGGCTGGGGGGTCGGGGGCCCAGCGAGATTTGGCCAGGATTGTAGATGTACAAGTACCCAGTAACTAATTCAAAATGTGGTAATATCAAAGATAAATGTGTAGGTATTTTAACGAACTTTTGTTTTTGAGATGTTGCGTTTTAGATCGAATACAGACGTTGCTTAGAAAGGCGGTATACAAGTAAGACAGTGTTGGTATTTTTAGGTGCATGTTTTAAAATATATGGTAAGTTAACACGTTCAAAAGATACAAATCGTCACCGTTTTCACGAGCCACATATGTCGATTTTGAAGAAAAAGTGTTTTCGAGATAATCGCAAAGGAAGTTTCTTATATTTTAAAACAGCAAAAAATACCACTTTGCAACAACTTTGTGAAGTAAGGAAACCATCACACTATTCTGTGTGAGCTGAATTTTTACATGAACCCAGTAATAAGACTTAATTCAGCAGTTAATTAGTGAAAATTAATTAGTAAAGATATGTGGCTCTTCGTGAAAACGCAAATTCAGGTTTCCGACATATTGGCCCTTTCTGTTCAATGTGTATTTCCATAGGCGCGCGTGAGTACGCGCGCGCAGCTGAAAAAGTAACAAAGATAATTATGTGGCTCTTCGTGAAAACGCAAATCTCATTTGACCTACTTTTACGTATTTCTGTGCAATGGGTTTTGTACGCGTTCAAAGGGCCAAAATGTATGTGGCTCTTCGTGAAAACGCAGAATTCATTTATAGAGATTTTGGCCCCTTGCAACATTAATGTAACTTGGAAATTAATGATGTTTTGCTTACAAAAACATGTCAAAATGGTTATTAAGTACATTGTTTTAAAGCAAAATATTGAAAAAAATCAAAATCGAAAAAATGGTAATTTTTGACATGTGGCTCTTCGTGAAAACGGTGACGAAATGCTTGCATATATATTGGCAAATAGGCCTATACATATCTGTGCGACATACAGTCACAATGTGTGTGTGTATGTAGTTATGAATTTTCATGATGTTGGTTTTATTAGATTACAGTATAACGTACATATATTTATATAATTATGTTTCTTAGTAATTTGATGTAGACAGCATTTATATGCAGTCACAATTATATATGTGATCAACTGAACAAACTTGAGTCCTTGATCCAACTGATTTTCTGATAAACATCATAGTACACATGTGAAACCCCATCGACAGGTTAAACAGGTATGATTTGAGCTTGATTAAATTGACACATTACCCAGGATCCTGACTGGAATATTTAGCTGCAGTGTTATACATGTATACAACTTAAATTATTTCCAAGTACGAAGAGTCTCATTGGAGGAAAATATACCCAGGAAATCAACAAAAAAAGAACAGACGGGCACAAGAATGTTTTTTTTTATTTAGTATTTTTCAAACATTGCAGTAGCCTATACTTATATTTTATAAGTAAAAAAGATTGATGTTAAGTAAAAAAGATTGAAAAATAAAGATTATTTTTAGGATACACTTTTCTTTTTTTTTAATAGGTTTTCCTGACCAATTTTGATAGGAAGTCGTTCAATTTTATTCCTGGTGTATCTAATGTCCAATGAAACTGAATTCTTAATTCAGCGTTAAAAATGAATAAACTTTTGTTGATCTTGGCCAGAAATTTTTTTTTTTAATTTATTTTGTGTGTGATGTGAAATTGAATATTGATGAAAATATTGTGGTAGGTTATGTGGTGTGCTTGGATGCCGCACGTAGCTTGTATCTTGTCTTGGTTATTTTCAGTTACTGAATTGATTGATGTATGAATTGTATTAGCGATACTGCGGTAGCTTATACTTTTATTAATACTCATACATGTACATGTACTAGAATATTACGAGACTTAAGTGTTTGCTGAAACACTGTTAAAGGGCCCATGCAGTGTATATTTATTTAATGAAATCATTCAAAAATGAACCTTTATGTCCCATTTATCCATTAGCCATTATCAAGGGTATTTTGGTGACTTTTTTATTTTTATGCTGACGTAAATTTCCACATTCATTAACAAAAGATGTAATGTCATTTCAGGCAGAAATCTCAGTGTTACAGCTATTTCAGCACCTAATTGCCAGAATGTTTGATATTTTGCTGTCGTAAATCTTCTGTTCTTTAGTGACTCGTTGTTGTGTCAGTAAATGGCATTGGGCCAGTGAGCAAACTTTTCTCACAACAAAATTCAATAAGCAAAATTTTGGTTCACAATTTGAACAGAAAATCCCTTAACTGAACATTGTCTTCTTGAAATGACATCACACTGCAGAGCCCTCAATTCTTGGGAAAAGCATAGACAATTTTGCATGTTTAAGGAAGTTCACTCTTCAATAAAATTAACCAAAAAGGGTTGCAAAATATTTTTCATACAGTTAAGGGGAGTAGAAAGTTGAACAACATGCTCGTCAGAAACATTCACTTCATTGACCCTTAAAAGTTGAAATACTTCGATGGACATGTTGTGGTGTGGATATTAGCGTGTACAAATTTTATTGCTAAATGTCTGAAAGTCAAACATACAAATGAAAACATTCTTTTGCAAAGTATTCAAATCATTTACATGTACATGTATAAGTCTAAAATTGTGCGATTTTTTAGTAAAGATGAAATAATTTATTCAATGCATTTTTATTTCCAAAACTGTGATGTAACGTGATATGATGCACAGTAGTTTAGATCAAATATATGATGAAAATATTGAGAAATGGATATAAGCTCACAGACGGACTATTTTCTTAATTATTTAGTTTTCACCTTACACACATTTGACTGTGTTGAGCATTAAAAGCATACAGCAACTGCCCTCAAACTTTTAGGCATAAAATGTTAGAACAATATAGCATAATCTGCCGGTTACAAATGTGTGTTAATAAAAGTGCATCCAAATTGAAATTGGAAACTGAATTGCTGGCACCATTTGAACAAAAACTAAGGCAACGTCTCAAAAGTCGGAACGTTCTTGTTCCGTATGGAACGTTCATTGGAACACCGGCGGGATGCAACACAAGTCCCCATTGTGCATTGTGACAGCAAAATATGTAGACTTTTCGGAGACAGGGACTTCTCAAACTTTCAGAAGCAGGCTCTCTCTTTTGGAAGGGAAAGACACGCCCAGTTTACTTCTTGCCAGCTTTCTTCTTTTTCTTCTTGTTCTTCTTTGATGCTCCTTTGGTAACACCACCTGTTAAAAAATATCACTTAAGTTATCAAGCTATAACATGGCTTTAAAGGTAGCGTCCATCATTTGTAATTAGTGCATTATGTTCGTTTGAAGCACAAAAGTGCTCAAAATCTAAAGAAGGGTGCTGAACAACTAACCTGATAAAATTTCTGCTCAGTGAATGCTGTATATTCTGAGAAAACAATAATCTAGGATCTCGATTATCTGCTCCACTTTGTTACCTGTTCTCATGTAAGAGTTCAAGTCTCCAGTCTAATCAAGTTATTGAACAATTTCAAACAAAGGTGTTTGGTACCTCTAGCATTTGTGCCGGTGTTTTTGGGCGGGAAAGTGGCAGGAATACGACCGGTAGCAATTTGCTCAGGCAGCATCATATTGGTGTCTAAGGGTAACCATGGTAACAGCTGAGGTGGGCAAGACTGTATCATGGGTCCTTGGGAGTAGCTCTGATGCAAATCAAAGAGTGACCTACAGAAATGAAAACGAGTTAATCACAAACACACATTGCAGGGTTCCAAATTACAATTCTGTAAAGCAAACACGTACCAGCACATCCTGGGGAGCTGTCATCAGCAAAAGATGTTTTTATTCCTAAAACTAAAGCATGTTAAGGCATACAATCTGACAACAGGTGCAAGACCTGAGGGCATCCCAGCATCATCTACTACTCAATGCACAAAGTCCATACTAAATTGAAAATTAAATTTGGCTCTGAGTTTTTGTACACATATTAATAATGAACAGGGTGGTCTGAATATTTCACATTTATTTGTCTTTAACTGTTTAGCTGGTGCCATAGAATTATAGCAGGAATGCTCCTTTTACCTTTTTTTACCAGAGGTCGCTGTCTGCAAGATACAGGCGTGCATGTCACCAGCAGAGTGGCATAGCAAGTAGTGTCCTTCAGGGAGACTACATGACAATACAATGAGGAATACATGTAAGTGAAGTAACATACATTGGTCAAGTTCTGTTAAAGCTGCTGCTGCTCCTGTAATATGGAGGTTGCAGCAGTGTTGTAGTAGAGTACTTTTGCCGAGTACCAAATACTGCCGAGTACCAAATACTGCCGAGTATTAAGTACTGCCGAGTACTTAGACTGCCGAGTACAATTCAAGTCCGAGTACTTTGCCAACCGAGTACTGCAAGTACACGTTTCAGAGTACAAGTACTTGCACTTCCGAGTACGAGTACGAGTACGAGTACGAGTACGAGTCCAAGTACTTGTACTTCCGAGTACGAGTACTTGTATTTCCGAGTACGAGTACAAGTCCGAGTACTTGTACTTCCAAGTACGAGTACAAGTACTACAAGACTGGCCTAGGCCCTGTCAGGCCCACTCTTGGCAAGCTGTTTTGCTTGTACCCCCCGCCCTTCCAGTATGAGATCGAGTACAAGTTCGACATGTCGAGTTCAAGTATTTTGCTGCCCTAGTACGAGTACTGGCTGTCAGTTCGAGTACAACTTTGACATTCGAGTACAAGTATGAGTACTCTAAAATGGTACTCGAGCAGCGAGTACCAAGTACGAGTACTACAACACTGGGTTGCATGTTAAAACAATGTCTTAATCATCCCATTCACAAAATATAGACAATGTATTAAATGAAACCTCTTAATGTAAAAAGCTTTCTTACGTGGTAAGTTTGTCAAGAATTTGAAACATCATCTTCATACAGCAAGACGGTCTGTGGGGAAATAAAATCCAGACACTTCTGAAACTATATTTACGTTTTGCGAAACCAAAATGGGGGTTTTATGTAAAAATCAAATTTTGATGCTCTTTTTACTTCTCACAGCAAAGCACATATAGAAATATCCAAACATTTTCAAATAAAAATTAGAGAAAGAGAAAGTCTTTTTATTTCCCAGTAAGAGAGTTCTTAGTAGCTATCGATTCATTGGCCATGTCCACTTACTGAAAGGATGGCTGTTCCCACAGTGCGCTGTTCATGTCAAACTGTTCAAGCTTCATAAGGTCAGAGGTCATGGCATTGACACGACCTGGAAATTGTCACAAGAAAAATTCAGATCCAAACTGCATAATTTGTAAAAACATTAATAACACTGGAAAAACTATTGTTTATGAAATTTAGAAAAACACTAACACTAACAATTAGTAACACTGAAAAAAACCTATTGTTTATGAAATTCAGAAAAAACAACCTACAGGGTGAGTCAAAAAAAGCGGAACCCAAACCCCCAAAATTATATTTCATCTTTAAAAAATATGTAGCACCAAAAATAAAAATGACTGGAAAGCCAATTTCATAAGCTACTTTTAGATGGTGACATTCTTTGAACAAATTGAGCAGTTTCAGTAATGTTTTCATCTAAAAGTAGCTTATGAAATTGGCTTTCCAGTCATTGTTTTTGGTGCTACACATCATTTTAATTATGAAATATATTTTTGGGGGTTTGGGTTCCCTTTTTTGACTCTCCCTGTAGCAAGGAAAGTTTGGGTTTTAATTATCACTACATCCAGTGATAGTGGTTTTGATCTGGTCAGAAAACTATGACTGATGCCTATTCTGAATATTTACCTTGTATGACCTTTGACCCTGGCTGTAGCAACAGACTCATCCACAACTTAGTGAGTTCACTAACACTGATCTGCTCATGGCCAAAGTGGGCTTGGTGCTCCATCTTGGGTACAATGGTCACAACTTGAGTCTGAGGAATGTGAACATCAGACAAACTAGTGGAGTGGCCCAGCTGAAAACAACCAAAGTAGCAATGACATATGCCTCAAAACCATGTATCATCACTTGTGATCTATCCATTAAACTGTTGCATAATCAAGGTTAATGGTTGTCTTGGAACAAAACAAGCAAGAGAGTTTTTGTGCTGCAAAATATGTCTGGATGAGAAGTAACTACATGTACTTTGAAATGTGTGACATGGAGTTTGACACCTCTATTGCGATGTCTCTATGACACAATCCAATTTTGACCATGAGATTGGATTACTGACTTATAATATTCATAATTTGCAGTAAACAAAGCCTTTACTGACCTTGTTTGGATAACCATCTGCATGGTTCAAAGTGATTGCATCAACATTACTCCTGACAACCAGTGAATGTCGGCCAAACCTCCACAAGCTGTAGTCAGCATTTCCTTCCGATGGTGTGCTGTAATCTGATGCCTTCTCCATATATCCATCCCCTTGCACATTCATGGTTCCAACGGCAGCACTGATTGGCGGCTGGGCAGGAGACTGGTTGACCACCTTGCCACTGTGTAACCGCTCCTGGAGTTTGAGAATGGAATCAATTGTAGACTCCACTCCAGACGTAGCCAGGCTTTGCTTCACAGGCTGGGTAGGTCTTCTGAGTGCAGGACTTCTCTTGGGGTTTCTGCTGTCCTGTTCGCTGGATTTGGTTGTGTCTTTTGCTGGTTTTCTGAGTACAGTTTGATTCCCTTCCGAGACAGGAAGATCAAGCACTGCTTGACCAGTTGAGAATTCTGAGGAGCAAACCTCATTAGTTAGTGACATTTTCCTGGTTGAAGGAAGATAGTGATCAAAGCACAACCTCCCGCTAGCTTTTTGCTCTTTGCTAAGAGTTTCTGCTCCAACAGCCATATGGTGGTCTTGATTTCCAGATCCAGCAGACTTTGATCTGAGATTGTATCTCAAGCAAGGTGCCTGCTTACTCTCAGGAGATGAGGAATCTACTACACTTCTGCTGGTCATTTTCTGCTTTTTAAGCTGCAGTGATTCAGGCTCTTGTGTCGGTGTTCTCTTTTCTGTTGAAGGGTTGGGTGGAGCAAGGCCTTTCTCATGAGGGGGAGGGGAGAGGGGCGAGTCTAGTATAGCCTCTCCCATGACCTCTTGAAGAGCGATGGCAGGTTTGCTTTTTCCCCCACCCACTGTGTCTTCAGCGACTGATTCAAGTACTTGCATGTCAGGTAGAGGTAGTTCAAGTGTCTTTTCCGATGAGTGGGGCAGAGCAGCATTGCAGCTGATGTCTGAGGGCTGATTCCTCTGGAGTCTACGGCTCCTCCTTGGGGTGGGAGCTTCCTTGGGTTCTACACCCTGAGGTACTTCTTGCCTTTTGGCTCTGGGTGTGTTTTTGACGGAAGTGTCAAGCTGATCATCTTCTAAACCAGTCATGCTTGGATCTTCTTCTTCACTATCCGTATTGTGTTTACCAACATCTTGCATTTCAGTGATCCCTTTTGTCACAGCTGATTGGTTGCTAGAAGTTTTCAGTGGGGAATCTGGGCCTGAGGACAGTGCAATGACTAATTCCCCTTCTGCTTCACTGCTGTCACTCGCCAATCCCAGCTCCCGACTTTCACACCGAGATCTCTGGCATGTTTCTCTCTGGTTACCCTGAGTTACAACATGTGAGCCACTTTGCTTTGCTTGATCAGTTAACTGCTCTTTTGCAGCATTCACTTCCTCTTCGTCACTTTCTCTTCTGAAACATTCTTCCATCCCCTCAGTAAACAGTTGTTCAGTTAGTGGTGCCAAGCTGTGTTTCATTTCTGGAGTCAGCTCTGATAAGGTAATAGACTCATTTGTTACTTCTGGCAAGCTTTGATCAGGATCATGTTTTGGTAGGCAAACCAAGTTTCCTTCAGTTGGCTTTGCTGAGCCAGTACTTGCAGTATTTATGTCCCACTGTTGAGAATGATTTGGACGGCTACCCTTTGTTTCAGTTTTGTTCTTCATTTGAGCGTCCTTCAACTTCCTGTGATGCGACTTCATAGGAGGCGACCCAAAAGTCTCCAGACTTGTCAAATCATGCTCCAAATAGTCATCATATTGGTTATCATCTTGCGAGGATGTCCCAAAATCCTGGTCAGTCAAGACCGCATTGTCTGGTGACTTCTGAACCTGTGAACCTTCCGTAACCAGGTCATGCAGTGCCACTTGGTGGAACGCCCGGCTGACATCGTGAGGAAAGCATGGATTTGTCAGTGGATCACTGATGAAAACAGTCTTCAATGTTGAGTCAGTGTCTGAAATACAAACAAAGTTGGCCAATTGTGATGGACACAAATTTTAAAAGGTACCGGTGTCTCCCAGCTTAACAACGCTAGATGCAAAGCCTTCGCAACCACAAGGCTTTGTAAGGGTGAACTGGTCTTATGGCATGATGAACAGAGGTGATTATTCTGAAGCACTTTTGGACTTTGGTATTAAGCCACTTAATCATGAAATTATTATTATTATTATTATTGCGTTTGTGAAGCATTACCTGACATGTTGGATGAACGAATCTGCACAGGAATGCGCCAGCTTTTGTCATAGTCAGGGGCATGGTTATCGGCGAGTGTTGGCAAGGCAGCCATTGCTATGACAATGTTTGCCTGGTACCTGGCAGCTAACCTCACAGCATTCTCATCAGTGCTAAGGTCCTGGAAAAATAAAATATACACGAGTATTTCTTCAACACTTTGTACCAATACTTTTGCCTAGGTGGCTTTAATGCGCACTGTAACACAATAGACTTTATTCACGAATTGGCTGAATGAAACTGAAAGCGAGGTAAACTCCTCATTTTGGAAGAACTTGCGAGTAGAAAGCATTGAAATGAAAGTCCAGTACAAATGTTTGCCAGTGACTGTTTTCTGCTGGTGGTTGGTGTTCATTCGGTAATAAACTCAGGGGATTAAAGTTTGACAAGGGGATTAAATCTAAGTTTAAGAGAGAGATAAAATCCTGGCATGGGCTCGGACAACATTCAGAATATGAGCTCTTTTTTGGATTTAGTCTTAAAAGAGGGATTTTCAGCATGATATGAAAGCTCCACAGTAGTTCTACGGTACCTTGTCCACATCACTACTAAATGGAAAGTTAAACAATTCTACCTTGCCTGTGTCCATTCCGATGCTGCTTCCCCTGCCTGTTGCTTGCTTGTGCTGACTGCATCTGTTGAACGCTGGTACCAGATTGTGATTGAGCTTGCCATCAAGGGTTGACGGCTCCACGACCTGTGGCTGTCCCTGATACCAGAGCACAAATACAAGGCAACATTGTTGATTGCAGGGACTGCGTAACTTGGAAAAAGCAAGGAATGTCTCAAGTTCTTGAAAATCATTCAGTTTTGGCATTTTTCCCAAGCAACCCTTATAATAGATTTTTTTTGTGAAAAAGGATTGAGAATGAGGCATCTGAACTCATTGGTGTGTGGGGAAAGTCAGGAAACAACAATGGACAGATAATTGAATACAAAGTACATGTACACTCAGCAGTTTAGTTGAACGGTGGCTACTTCAAAGAATGGAGGTTTTTCCAAAAATAAAAAACAATCTGGCAATGACCTTTTTTCACAAAATGTTGGTGAAAGAAGTCCTTGTAAAATGCTCTACCCAAAGAAAACATTGTCTTCATTATAAAAATTAACCAGCATGGCATATCCATTCTCAAATGTATCTTACCAATTGCAGCAGACGAGTCGAGAATGTCAGCACAGGGTCTGTGGGAAAGACGGCAGCTGGCACGATGCCAATAGTCTGGCATACACTGAAATACTGAGGCAGTTGCTTGACATATTGTTCCTGTAAATGCCACTGATTCTGAAAAATATATAAAAAAAAAAACACAACGTACATACGAATGGTCTTAAAGACACATGCCCCGCGCTCTTAAAACATTTTTTTTTCTCCTAAGTTCTAGCAACTTTTCAATTGGTAGGCCTATATTTTGTTTGATGAAAGATTTTGGGGTGTCTGCAACCCTCTGAATTCCATTTTGCACACTGAATTTCATTTTGCCATTAAAACAGGTATGATGTTTGGCATTAAACTGAGTAGTTCAACAATTGTACCACAATTTGCTCTGCTCTACTTACCATGGCATACTGCAGTGCTGCTGGGGGCAGATGTTCATAATCTTTGGGACTGCACCTGGCAACGTGTTCCGCAAACTTCATGAAATCCTGCTGCTCTTGCTGCACCAACATCTGCAATTTCTGAAATTACAAAAAAAATGAGGTATTAATATAAAAACAAAACTTGAACCACGACCCATATCCTTGTGCACATGCAGAGTTGAAATACTGAACTGGCATATTACCATCCCAGTATCTGGAGCAATGCATAGTCCTTGAAATTTGTTTTTTGAGTTTGTAGAGTTTGGGGATGAGTTCCTTACCCTAAGCTGTTGTTTGTCGGTGATATCCTCAGGGGTCATGGAGTATCTGGTCTGGTTGGGACGCCAGTGTCCATGCTTCTGTGAGAGCTCAATGTATCGCTGTTGCTGGCCATGGGTCATGCAGGAATGCCTATAGTGGGGAAATGGTTTCTAAATGATGAATTTTATCACCCTCATGTTTATTTCTAATTCATAAATAGTAAAACCAGCCAAGCACATGACAGCTGGAAAAACCGGAATTATGTGAGATTTAACCCAAAAAAAACGGAATTCCGGTTAAAACCCGAAAAGTGGCATCTCTGGGTATCAATTGAAAGTTTCCGAGACCAAACATTTCAGATTGTTTTTCCACCAAGAAATGTCCAAACAAGGATGATTATAAAAACTGCTTGTAGTTTCTTTTTTGTGCCAGGTGTATATGTTGGGCATTCATGCACATCTATGGTCATACATGTACATTCACCTTGGATAAGGAAACCCTGCCTTGGGACTCTTCAAATTCCAGACAATTTTTGGCGTCTTCTGATTGACATCCTGCTTTGGAGCATTGCATGATGACACTTCCTTGGCAGGCTGCACTGATAAAACCTCAATCTCTTGATTGTTCTCATTGTTGGGGACCTGTGATGTGTTTGGGACCTGCGATAACTTTCTACAGTAGATAATACATACACAAAATAAAATTTGACGGCCTGCAATGGACGCTGAGGAATTAACAGGTTAAGGAATTCGCTAATCAGGCTGCACACGGAGATAAAAAGTGTTGATTTTCTATAATGACCTTTTCTTAACCGGGGAGATGGTGCACCCTTTGATGGATGGATTGTAGGCTATGAACAGGTTGGCATCAAACTTGGGTTGGATTGTAAAATTCTCATAAGCCTCCTCGGTGAAGAAGGCTTCATCTGCCTCCAAGACAGATCCTTCACTTGCATCGCCAGCCATCACTCATATCTGCAAAACAATTTTAAATCTTTGCTCAATACTTTCAGTAATTGAACAGATAAGTCCACACAGGCAGGACCTTAGGATTTAAAATTGAATCAAATCCAAAAACTGAGGGTTTGTCTTGGAAAGTAAATTCACCACTGATAATGAAGTTAAACCAGTTAAAATTTCTGCAAAATTTTGACATTTAAGAACATGTAAATTGAGCACTTATCTACATGATCACTTGATCATACCTTCCTTTATTGGAAAGCTAGTAAGCTACACCATCCAATTTTGAAAATTCAACATCTCAATTCAATTTCAAGTAGGGCCTGGTTCCCTTGGGAGAGATAGCGACATAACTGTGCCTGGATAATACACCCAACCAAAAAAGGGAAGTCCCCCTCTAATACTTTTTTTACTGCGCACATCTTGCTCAAATTACGACTAATCAGTACAGTACAAAAACAGTGATAATGTGTACAACTTTATGCAATTTATGACAACGCAGTGGCTATCGGTACGGCAGCCGTTTTCCCATTTTCTATCGTTACGGTAGTATAAGCAACTTTTATAATAACATGATAAGAAAATATAAAATTAGAAGGAAAAAAGTGAATTTGAACTTTATGAAATTCGGACTTTATTTCCCTTTTAAAAAAAATCCTCCAAAGCCTCAGGTTAGAAAAGAAAAAAAATTCGAGTGCAAAACTGAGATGCGAACCCTCAACCTCGTGGTGCAAAATCCTACCCTCTATCGACTGAGCTGTCGCACTGCTCGCTAAAATGTGGGGAAACAAATAATTATATACCTGCGTGCGTATATCAAAAAAGTATCGTAGAGGGCGCTAAACAACGGCTGCCGTAACGATAGCCACTTCGTTATGACAAATGCTACCAAAAAAAAGTTGCACTTTTGTATACGTGCAAGGTGAGTGTGAACTAGGTACGGGTATACACGATACTAGGTACGGGTGCCGGATCTAGAGCATATAGAGAGAGCAGTATCGATCGTAACTGTTATGATGCATGCATGTTAAATCGCGCGCGGTCGACGGCATTTTTAGCTTCAGCACGTGTATCATTAGTAATAGTCAGGCTCCAAACTTAACCGCCGTAAATGGGGTCTATGTATAGGTTTGACGTCTGGGAATAAAACAGAAACATGATTTCAACCTCGTAGCAAATGCGCACGTCACGTAGATTTTATAAAAATAGATTTGGCGCTTGAGCGTTGGTTGTTACCATTTTGTTTTCTCCTGACCCTGTGTACGAGGTTGCAATCGGTTTTGCGCTTTCGTCATCCATATATGTAGGCTATGCCGAAGCAACTGCGGACGCTTTCTTGATCGCTTGTTTTCTGTGTTTCTGAAGAGTGTTTTGACAGCCTACAGGAGTTTACCACAAGAAATCAACTACTTTTTTGTAACTGCACGTACTTCGGGAACAAAATTCAGCGGCAGCAAAGAAAAATGAGTGACAAAGTCGAGGAGAAGAAACGGGTAATTTAACATTCCTATTCCTACCTCCATGACCTCCATGATCAAGTCTGGATGTGCGCTTTCTTGCAATTTGCGCAATCTCAAGAATGAGCGCGCATTCTTCAGAATGAGCACGCAATCTGAGGAATATGCCCTCATTCTTAAGATTGCGTGGGAATATTACCTGCGCAATTTATGAATTTGCGCAATCTTAACAAACACTGCACGGCATTGTTAAATTAAACATATTACTGGTAAAGAGGAAATAATCATATTCAAATTCAATTAAAGCTGTTATTATTGCTTTTTTCTGTCCCCCCATGGGAAGTTTTGTAATAATGGAGGACTGGGAACTAGTCTGGGAAGTGTTTTGTTTAGTCTAGACAAGCTACAAGTCCCTCACAGGAACACGTTATACGTTTTTGTTATCAGAATTCTTTCCACCAAACTATTACTACATGTATGTCTCTTATTATCTCCACTTACATTGTTATATCTTTTCCCTAGTGAATTTGCATTGCCACAGTATAATTATTTAAGTACGGCCCAAGAGTTCATCAGTGAACGAAGATGCAGCTAGACTCGCTAAGTGTAGCCGGTTCTTGGCATCGAAAAGATCGCTTCTCTTGTTGCGCATTCTTAAGAATGTACGCTCAATCTGGAAGATTTTTTTGTCGAAGATTGCGCAACTGGATCCTTGCGCAATCTTCGACAAAAAAAAAAATCTTAAAATTATTAAAAGTGTTTTAGTTTCTATATCATTTTGCAGGAATAACCATCTACATGTAACCCACTAAAACAAACCTCGTATGTGACATCTAAGGTTGTTTTTGTTTTTGTTTTTTTCCTGTTCATTTCCTCCCTCCCCACAGAGAAGCAAACACAAACGGTCCCGGCATACACGTTCCAGGTCACGTTCCCGGTCGCGGTCCCCTGCCTTGTCTGACCACACCCGGTCCCGGTCGCGCTCCCGTGGCCACTACCGGTCACGCTCTCGCAGCAGTTCATACTCCAGGTCACCGCGTCGCAGTAACCGCTCGCGATCGCGCTCCCGAGACCGGTACAACAGGCGATCCTACTCCAGGTCACCCATTCGAGGCTACCGCTCGCGCTCCAGGGATCGCTATAGGGGCAGGTCATATCGGGATAGGAGTCCACGACGATCCTACCGGTAGGTTTGAGGCATCATTTGATATTCCTCATCAACATGCTTACAAATGTATGCAAAAGCCTCATTAGCAATAACCCTGCCAGGCACAACAAATCACAATAGGTGTAAAAGTTATACTGGAATATTCAGTCGTACTAGTTGTGCATGATTTGATGGATTTGGATGAAACTTAGATCCTTGGGTGGGAATACACAATTAGTCTTTGGAACGTTGAGGGCAAAGGTCATGTTGGGTTATTAATATGCTTCAATTGTTTCTTGGTCTGCATAATATGGATTTTGATATCACTTGGATGGATTGATCCTTATGTGTGGGGTCATGATGCCTCTTCAAAAGTTGGAGGTCAAAGGCCATCGAGGGGTGATTTGAGATCGTTTAAAAGTGCACAAAATTTGAGTGGGTCATCATAAAGGCATGTTAACAGTTGCTCAGAGTAAGGCGGCACGTGCGATCCAAGGAGCTCCTTGTTTCTGTATGAAACCTCGAATCTCTGTCCCGTACTTTCAATGGATGATTTGATGTAGATGGGACTCAAACCCGTGACCTCCATCCTTCTGCAGACTTGAGCAGCGCAGATGTGTTCTTGGGTCTGTGCTCCACACAAGTAAAACTTTTCCTCACAAGCTCATAATAGTGCTTATGAAGGTACATCGTTGAAGTACAAAACCCAATATTTCAATTCACATTCACGAGTGCTTTTATGTGGTATTTTTACAGACGTGAACGCAGCACTTCTCCGTTGTCTGACAGGCGACGCCATGTTGGGAGCAGGGTAAGGGAACATATGTCATGTGACAGTCAGAATGAGTTTGAACGTCCCTCCCTTTTGTCTTCCAAAACCTTAATTTCTAACCCTTTGATCAGAGGCGTAGCCAGCTGGGGGGGGGGGGGAATATTAACCTACCCCCTCCCACCCAATATTTTGTAACGAGTGCCCTTTTTTCACCAGCACCCTTTTTTTACAAAGCGCAAAAGTCGGCAATTGTGCCGCCATTAAAAGCACCACTTATTGTCCCATTTGAATTTTTTATGCCGTGTTGATGGAATGGAATTCCTTGGCTTGGCTCAAATGTTGAGAATTACGTGCATCAACTTGATTTCTTCAATAATTTATTTTCATTCTCTCTCTAGGAGAACCCGACTGAGAACGATTGCATTGGAGTGTTTGGCCTGAGTTTGTATACCACAGAAACTGACTTGAGAGAGGTGTACACAGTGTATGGGCCGCTGGACCGATGTGAGGTTGTGTACGACCACAAGGTAGCACCACTAGTAGCATAATATACGAATATTGAGTGGCTCAGAGTGAATTAGGAGGAATATTATCGCAAGGTCAAATCTGGACTTTTCCTTCGCCTCGTGAACTGGAAAAGTCCAGATTTTACCGAGCATTAATATTCCTCCCATTTCACAATTTAAAGCCACTCAATATTTGTTTTATGTAACTGACATATAGATCCTTGTCATTTGATATATTTGAACTTTTATTTCAATACAAAATTGGTGAAAGATGTATTTCTCTTTTCCAAACTACTCCTTCACGAAAACGTTTGAACCGAACTCTGTAGCGCAAGATTTCAAGCTGTTTTTAATTGTTTTTTTATAATTGAGTACTTTTTGTTTTTCTTGCAGACTGGCAGATCCCGAGGTTTTGCATTTGTTACCTTCCATAATGTCGAGGATGCCAGAGACGTAAGTTTATTAATTAAAAATTATAAAATATAAAATTATGTCCGCTCTTTTCAAATCTTTAACGATAAATCGTTTGTGAATGTGTGACCTCAGGCTAAGGTTCGTACGGACGGGATGGAGATCGACGGCCGGCGTATCCGTGTGGATTTCTCCATCACCAAGCGAGCTCACACCCCAACACCAGGCATCTACATGGGCCAGCCAACATTGTAAGTTTCTTACTTATTCACAAGAAGTGTATGCTCCAGCATGTCGAAACTGCATCGTAATCTGGATAACGTGGACAAGATGTGCTCTCTGTGAGTTTATTGCCTAGGCAACCATGAGTCTCCCCCGGCACGAGACTGTTCAGAATTTTGAAGAGAAAACCATCACAAAAAAATATTGTGGCCGTGGTTAGTTGGTTTTCCTCTACTTTGTATTGCCAATCTGAATTGTTGAAATTGGGGTTTCACTCAGTACATGAGAAGTGGGAAGTCAAATCCAAGCATATCCTGGAACAATGTTGCAGTTATTGAACTGTAGTTTCCGCAGTGCTATGGCAAAAACGGCCTTGTCCCTTGAGTGTACAGTGATGACATTCTTGAGTTCAAATGTGGCTGAGTGTTGTATATAATCCATCAGGCGCAATAAATAATTGCGGTTTGCTGGATCTGTTCCAGTTCAAAAGACCTTTTGAAAAGTTTGCAATGAGCGCGTGTTTAGGCAAAATGCATTTAGTAGGCAAAATGTATTTCAAAAGTTACAAACGCAAAGCGAGGCTTAGCTAAACTACATTTGTAGTAGTTGCTTTTTATTTTTCTGGAAAATTCCAATAAATTCACGGGAAACCACAGGGAGCACATCTTGTAGCTAGGCGAACAACCGAAGACAATCTAACAGAACTTGGAAACTTCTTTTGATAGAATGAAGAAAATTTGATTTCTGTGAAGAAGACGCAGAAGAGTTGAAGAAAAGAAGAGAAGAATGTGTACAGTAAGTTTGTGGTGGTTGTATCAGGAGGCCAAGCCCACCCATGCAGGTAGTTGGAATGCAATCATTCCAGAATAAAAAAAAACTCACTGACTACTCGTGAGTAATGAACACTCAAGAGTTCCTCATTGATCAAGTGTCAGAGCCCCTGCAGCTAGCAAAATTTGTCAAATACCGATACAAATATACATCCATAAATAGACCTGTATCAGGTGATCTAGTTCTGAGAGTCACTGTTGATGAATATTCATATTTTGTGATTGTGTGACTAATGTGAACATTATGAATATTCATGGCAGGTAAGTGGCTTGCACTGTGTTTGGTAAGCCAAAGTAGAGTGTGGATTGCGCCCTTAGGTTTTGGCAGTTTTAAATTAGGCACGATTTTTTTTTTCCCAATAAAATCCGGAATCTACATTTACCTCACCTGTACTCTCTTGTAAGACTTTTAAGTTGTTTGTCCTGAAATTTCTTATTTCTTAACATCTTCCTCTGGATTCAATGAACTTGTCTTCATTCAGTTTTCAGTGTAGGTTCAGCACTGTTTTTAGTTTCTTTATGCAGGCTTTTCCTTGGTGTTTTGATAGCTCTGTAAACTTCTTGAAGTATTATAAGACAGAGCAGAAGCCCTTATCCCTCTCCAACTTTCTTTTTACCCCTCCGAGAACGTGAAATTTGGAATTACTTTTCTCTGTGAATCTGTCCTACTTCTTCTTGGAATTTCTGTTTAGTCACACATTTAGTATACTTGTAATAATCCTACATGTAGCTCTTCAATGTCCTCCACAATCCACAAGGGGGTTTGTGAGGGTATTGCAGGATTAGGTATAGTAACTGAACATACTGTTCGATGTCTCTTGAAAGTTTCAAGTATATGCCTTTGGTTCCCTTACAGTCAAGTCAAGTGGTGGATTTCAGAGGGTTCAGGAAGATTCCTGCCAAGTAGGGAGATGAGGGTTTTCATGACTAAATTCAGTGTTCACTTGGTCTTGAACTTGGATGAGTATAGTCACAATCAGAATTAGGTTGTTTCATTTCCTGTGTAGAATACATAATTGAGGTCAAAAGATCGTTTTTCGCATCGGGCAATATTCCTGGTTTTTGCATGACTCTGATAGATGCGGATGACAATCCTATCAATTCTAGCAGCTTCAGGTTGCAACATTCTTTCCCACTTTTGCCCATATCAGTTGGCACAAGTATTTTAAAACCATTTGAAGTAATCTTCCGTGGAGTATGAATAAACTTCAAACCCTTTACAAGTCCTTTGTGTGGTAAGCTCCGGGCAAGCAGTTGCATTCTGTCACACTCAACTCAAAGCCGCACATGCTCCGGTATGGTGCAGTGAAACTCTGTATTGCACGGTAAATAAACACTTCATAGATCTTCAAATTAGAAAATCTCAGTGGTTTTTGTAGATTATTTAATATTGCACTGACTGTTACATTTCCCAGTAGAAGCGTCAATGCTTGCCGGTACAGACTCTAATATGAATCATGTTGTCATTGGTGGACCTGGTACATGTGATACTTTTTCCTTTATTTTGACAGCCCGGAAAAGCGCAGGGACTTCCGTGATTTATCGCCCTACCGCTCCAGGGGACGGTCCTTCTCACGCTCCCGCTCACGGTCAGCGCACAGGTCACGCAAGAAGTCATGGACCAGATCCAGGTCACGATCCAGGTCATAAGGTCATCAAGGACCAGAGTGTAGAGGAAGGTAATGTTTGTTTTTGAAGAGTGCTATACTATCTATCGAAGAGTGTTATACTATAGGAACAAAGGAAAAGACAATAGCTTGTCCTCGGACATAATTGTAAAATACAACTGCGCACATGAGGTGTGTCTTGTCTACAGGGCACTCAGAAGAGATTGAAAAAAAGCCCCCTCTTGTTGCGCACGGACATTTCCCTTGCAACTTGTTCTTGTCAAAATTGGGCCAATGATACCAAACTAAATGCAGAAGGGTACCATCCAGAATCACAAGCATAGCTGGGTTTTTATTCGCGGAGCTTTGCACTCAGATCATGTGGTTCACCATTCAACTTTTACCATTTCCTACTACAGGTGGAGTTCCATGTCATAAGGAGTTTGCAGCGTGGCCGGGATGACTGCTTAGCCACTTCGTTCTTCAGAGCAGTCTTTTTTTCCCCTGCATACAACCAGTAAAACTAACTTTATTGTTTGTGCACGTGTAACACCCTTGTATATAGCGATTTAGTTGAAGAATCATACATTAAACTAATCACAGAGGAACGCAGTTTGGGGGAATAGACATTTTGGAATGTAATAACCAGTTGTTGAGGACCTGATTTAAAAAAAAAAAAAAATCAAAGTTTAGAAAATTCAAAGGAAGATTCATTCATTTGTAACTGTGTTTTTTTAGAGAAACATTCACTCGCAAAAGAAAAAAAACGTAGAACCGTGCTATACAGGCAAGCAACTTTTCCTCGGATCTGCTGATTTCCTCGTTTTTCACTTCACACTTATGCCATTAAAAATGGAAAAACACTGTATAAAGTCTTGTAAAAATTGAAATTGTTCTCTTTTTTTCTTAAATATAAGTTGCATGCCTGGCTATACATGTAGTTATCCCACAAAAATGACTTTGAGCAAGTGCCCTGTTCGTGATCACTTTTAGTGAAAATTTGGTGAGTGATATCTGAACAGAAAATAAAGTAGTTATTTGGCATTCATGTAAAGCTCACTTACTGCTGCTTATTGACAGAAAATGCTCTTTGTCACATATTCTCCGTCAACTTTCTTGTCTGTATTCTGCACCTCTTTTTTTATTTTGCGTGTGGCAAGTTTTTTTTGGCAAGGGTTTTGCACAGGGCTACTTTGAAAGTTTAGTTGTAGAGAGTTAAATTTTTTTTAATGTATTAAAGCCTCTTAATAATGTTCAGCGTCAATATGACTGAAATGATGTTTTTTGTTCAAACATTTAAAAAAATTTCCCATATATAGACAAACTCTTTTTAAGCCATGAAGTTGCATAGCGAAAAATGTTCATTGAGTTACGTGTTAAACATGTTTTGGCTCATACCTGCCTTTGTGAAGCAAAACTAGTCTGAATTGTGTGTTTGTTTGAAGAACTTTTGAAGCCTCTTACTGGTGATTTAAAAGGCACATCAGAACACACCTACTTTTGTTTGATGGCTGTTCATTATTTTCATTGTTTTGCATGTAGAAGCCCATAGAATGAGCCACATACATTTGAACCATTTACTAAAACTATTCAATCATCTTTTCAGACAACAAAGAAGTATACATGTAGGAAGGTTTGCTTTAGCACTGTTGGGAAAGTATCTCTTTTTGGCCTACATGTGGTTTATCTTTCTTTTGTCAACCGTAAAAAAAATCAAAACCTATAACATGTACTTCCACTACGTAAACCTTTGCAAATCTTTCTGGGTATGTTAAAATGTTGCCGTAAAAAAAATGTGTTCTAGTTTGCTTCTTATATCCATTTTTTTTTTCTTAGTTTGGATTAGTTTAAAACAATATTTTACTCTATTTCGTCATCTATTTTATATACAGGTATTATTAATTTCTTTGGAGAAAGTAACCTGAAGGTTTTTCTAAATTAAAGTGGTTTTTAATTGATTGAAATGCACCATACTAACGATATGTACACAGAAAAAAAATGCTCTTTGAGAAATATTAGAATGTACAAGTTGGTTAGATAAGAAATAATTGCTTGTTCAAACTTGTTACATTGTTTAGAAATAGTTCCTCTCTGCTTTTGTGTTCAGTAATATGCATGACTTTAGCAAGTAGAATTGTATCTGTATGGTAGTATTTGTATGTACATCACAGTTTTGTAGTTGATATTTCATCCAATTGATTGAGTTTGAAGAACATGTATACCTCAATGCTATTATTACAGATGATCACGCTATAAGAGTATTGTATTCGAGCATGGTCGTTAAATGTGAAGAAAAAAAATGCTGGTTTTTTAAAAATTAATCTACTAGCTGACCTGTATTTACCGAATATTGATGTAGTTATTATGCCTGTTGTGCTGCACTGATATGTGTTTGGATTGTTCATGATGTGACAATAAAGGAAACAGAAATTTACTGTGTTTACTTTTTGATGTATACCATGATGCTCCCTGACAATCCTGCTAATTGCGGCACTTTATTCCCAATGAATTGGCGTCATTGTACCCTTGCAGTAGCAACTTTTCCTCGGGTCCGCTGATTTCCTCATTTTTTACTTCTCATGAATGCCATTACAAATTGAAAAACACTGTACAAAGCCTTGTGTGGTTAGGAATTTCCTCGATTTTTAACCCCTAAATTCCCAGTTGCATGCCTGCTTATAATATAGACCTAAGACTTTGGTTGTCTTTGTTTGTTGAACATGGAAATACACATCGTAGTTATCGGTGATTCCGAACTTCAATAAAACAGGTCCACACAATGCAGGTTGGTGAACCTTCTGCGGACCATAGGTGAACTAAACTAAAGCCAGCAGGTCCACACAAAGTTTGCCCCTCTCTGAAAAACGGGTTTTAGAGGCATTTTGGGGTAAGGGTTATTTGTTGCAAAATAAAAAGGAACACTAAAGGAAATGATAAAACAGTCGGGTTGAAAGAGTGTTCACAGTGCGAATAATACGATTTTTTTCTCCGGTTTTTCTTAACTTCACGAAAACAGGAATGTCCACAAGTTCGTATGTTTTACTAGGTACGCCTGTGTGAGTTAGAGCCATTGATCTCCATATATGGAGATCAATGGTTAGAGCGTGTGGGACTAGTTCTTGTCTAATTTTAAGATTCCAACAAAAAGATCGCCTGATATGATAGAGGGCGCATTTTAACTCGGGAATGGTCAGGCAGAAATGTTGTAACATTCACTAACAAGTTTCTGGGTCGGCATTCCGCGGCGAGTTTTTTTAGTTTTTTATAATTAATAGTTGGTCGTTAAGAGCTTCGTTGTGTAGCAGTTAATGTCTTTTGTCAGGTGCGGACTCCACATCGCATGTTTGTGGCTTGAATCATGTTTTCAGGTGCAGTAAAATCTTTTCACGAAACTGGTGAAATGGGAATTAAATTTTGTTAATTTGTACTTCACTACTTGACTTCAAGTTAATATTGTACTATTTGTAGGCTTAGCTTACAAAAAAATATTGAGCAGTTGTGTAGTTGTTGTCAGACCCGTAAGCATATCATTATATAGCCACGTTCACTGTTTTTTCCGTAATTGTTTAAAATCAAATCATATATTCAGCGAAGTGGCTACCGTTACGGCATTCGTTGTTTAGCGCCCTCTACGATACTTTTTTGATACGCGCGCAGGTATAGAATTATTTGTTTCCCCACGTTTTGGTGAGCAGTGCGACAGCTCAGTCGATAGTGGGTAGGATTTTGCACCGCGAGGTTGCGGGTTCGCATCTCACTTCTCAGTTTTGCACTCGAAGTTTTTTCCTTTTCTAACCTGAGGCTTTGGAGGATTTTTTTTAAAAGGGAAATGAAGTCCGAATTTCATAACGTTCAAATTCACTTTTTTTCCTTCTAATTTATATTTTCTTCTCATGTTTTTATAAAAGTTGCAGTAGGCCTACTAGTACTGTAACGATAGAAAATGGGAAATGCGTTACGGCTGCCGTAACAATAGCCACTGCGTATATTCAGTCCTACTAAAATGCGCCCCATGCGCAAAATTAGCTCCCATATAAAATGTTCCTCAAATACCGTACTTGCTCCTTCTGAGCTATGAGGAAATTGAAATCGAGACTGTTTTGTCAATTGTGCAGTTACCAGCGGCTTAACGCACTCGCACTATGTGGGCTGACTAATGACTCACTCGAAGTGGTCTACACACATTTTGAGTGGATTGCTAAGAGTGCATCATAAAACACTGACCATCATTCATGTATCATATATGGTGTAAAACGTAACGTCATCAAAATACTACGTTTTCCCCTACATGTACCTTTGCTTCATGACAAACATCTTGGCCTGCTGTTTTCTTCCCAGGATGTTGTTCACACTAAGTGAGACGGTGCAATGGCTGGGGATGACCGTCTTTGAACTCTGGGTCCACACCGTCTCCCTCCTGCTCTTCACCGTCTTCCTGACCCTCAAGCTTCAAGACGTTTGGCCCGTCACCTGGTGGACGATCTTTGCCCCGCTCTTCACCTGTGACAGCCTAAACGGCTACTTCGTCTCCATCGTGGTCATCCGGCTGTACCTGTACCAGGGATTCCGGGTGGCTGCCCTGCGGCTGTTCTGGAGCGGTCTGCTTCTGGCCCTGATCTTCGTCTTCAAGATGCTTCTGTGCAAGCGGCTGGAGGGTGAAGCCGACATCCCGTGCTCGATCATCATGTCGCCGCTCTTTGTCCTGTTTCAGGTTCTCATGATCAGGGCCTGCCAGGTGTCCTAGTCAGCATTTATTTAATTCAAACATTTTAACTTTGAAAGAATTGAGAAGGAAGCATTGCAAATATTCCCCATTTGGGGATTAACTTTTGGATAAACACAGGTGTAATAAACTGGGAGACAATTGGTACTTTTGTGCCTGACCATGCCAAGATCATCCAAACAAGGAAATGACGTTGCTGTGAGTACCTATTTGTGTTTATTTTATTTTAATAGTTTACTGATGACCCAAGTACTGCAGAACAAAAGTCTGTAATTAAAAGTTTGATGACTCCCGTTTTTTAATTGCAAATTTGGCAATGCAGTCTCTTGATGCCACCTTTTCATAAAATATACACCAGGCTTCAAGGGGTATGCAGCTTCGCTTTGATTTTGGAGGATTGAGGCTTGTTCCTAGCCAAAAGGGCCTAAGAATTTAGGGTTAACCCATGATAAATTCTGTGGAAGTGATAGTAAAATGATGCTACATTGTCCTACTAGGTACAAGGCACCAATGACAGCAGTATCGTCAGTAAATGCTCCACAGCATCGCAGGGTTACTTCAACGATGACTTCCTGAGATTGTTTGTCTCCAAGACGTCTCGCCGCGCTCCACTCATCAACAGAGGCTACTACATCAGGGCACAGGTGATTGATGACGTCTTGAAACAGTTCTTGTCCGTTCATCAGGGAAAGAAGCAGGTAAGGCCCTAGCCTATATGTAGAAGTCTCAAAATCATGGGAGAAACGTTTGCGGTCTGAAAACTAGTCTGAAATAGCTGAAATGCACCATCTGAACATGACGCATGATAAATTGACTTGAGAATATATTTTCGTTTTAAGATTATTGTTATCCTTGAATGTTTTCTTCAGAAAGAAAAACCGATTTATGGAAAGAAAAAAAATGTTTCAGGGTGTTAACCCTAACCCCTTGAGTGATTTACTAAGAACCTTCCTCACTCTTGCAAAATCCAACACCATGGTAACGCAACACCCAAACTGTTGGACTCTGATTGCAGGGGTATGCCTTACCCCATGTAAAGCAGAATCAGTTTACTCTTGCAGTACTCACTCCAACAGATTCCAACAAAACATGCAGTTGGATTTCGAAGGATTGGGTGTGGTTAGGGTTTATAATGAGTTATTTTATTTATCCTTTTCATTTTGTGCACTTTGTAGATCATATCCCTTGGTGCAGGGTTTGACTCTGCGTTCTTCAGGCTGCGTGCCAGTGGACATCTTGTAAATACAACATTTTATGAAGTTGACTTTCCTGATGTCGTCCGACGGAAGGCGACTATTATCAAGACCACAGCGCAGTTGAGACAACAACTCGGTGAAGACATCAACGATGCTCAAGAATATGCAAAGGGTGAGTGGAAAAGGCACATACAATAGTGAAGTCGATTAAATGATAAAAGTTGATAAAAGTTCTCTGTTTTGGTGATTTTTGAACATTTCCGAAATTCTATTGATTTACTTATGTTAAGGGAGGTCTGTGTCTTTAACTGTACAATAGTCCAGGTGTCAAACAATACTGGTTTGCTTGCAAGTAGATGCAGATTTTCAGAATTATAAAATACAATAATGTCTAGTAAAACGTAAAGTTTCTAAGAACACTTTTTATTGACTCGGTGATGAATGTTTAATTCTGAATCTTGTGATTGATGAATTTAATTTCTCATTTTGTTTTTGTTTTTGTTCTCCAAGGAATCTTCCTGATATCCCATGACTACCGTTTACTGGGCCTGGATCTTACTAATCTTCCTGGTCTACAGAGGTGTTTGCAACAAACCGGCATCAACTGTCACCTACCGACCTTACTGCTGTCTGAATGTGTGCTGACCTACATGGAAGTTCGTAGGTAAGCACCATTTCCAAGACGTAGTAAATGTCGCAAATGTTTATCTCTCACCACAAAATGAGCTGAAAGATCAGAATATCGTCATTTTGTGCAGTGCAGTGGGATAAGATCAAAGTGTGAAGGATAGTCTTTTTTAATTTAACGTGTAGGTGAACCGCAATACCTACTGACAAAGGTTAGGTAACGAGTCTTGTTTTGTATTTCCAGCTCTGATGCTCTGATCCAGTGGGCCTCGTCGTCATTCCCCAACGCCGTCTTTCTGACGTACGAACAGATACATCCTAGTGATGCCTTTGGTTTGGTTATGTAAGTCCAATAACTGTTTCAAAATACTTACTCAGCGTGAAGCCCCTTCTCGAAACAAACATTTCTCATTAATTTTCTTAATAATGACGAAATTTGCATGTGGACTGAAAACTGGCAAAAAAATAACATTCACATACAAAACATCTGCCCTTGCTTGTTAACCAGTTTGTATTAAGGAACTAAATGTGGGCTTGTCCGGTTTTAAACAAGTATGATTAAAACCGGCTAGTGGTCTGGCTGCTGACCCACATTCATGGCCTTTTGAAGGCGAGAGCTATCTGCATCCCGGCCCCTAGCCTGTTTCAAGCGTACTTGTTTAATGCCCCCCCCCCCCCCCCCCCCAAAAAAGTCTCCGGTTTCTGGTACGGAGCTTGCCCCACGGTGACGCGGTTTTTTTTCTGTCTTTTTTTCCTTACTTTTTTTCCATCAAATGTCAGCTGATGTTGGTTTATAGTTACTTGTTACTTTGTACAAACTATTTCATTTGCTCTTATTTCAGCTTTGCATATCTTTATCTTGACTTTTCTCCTTCTTTTCAGGAGGAAACATTTTGAGAAGCTGAATTCTCCCTTGAAGGCCATTAAGACGTACCCAACCACGGAAGCACAACAGCAAAGATTCCTCTCACTGGTATGTACATGTACACACTGACTGCCTTAACGTGGCACATAACATAGGTTCAGTTCATTCTTCCGCCTTGTCCATATTCCTGACAAAATTCCCATCGGTCAAAATCGGTCAAATTCCCATCGGTCACCAATTATTGTGGTTATATTTTCATTCACTTCATAAGATGTTTACCTTGACAGAGATGTGCTTCTAGTCTTAACCAAGGTCACCTACCATCAAACGTTGACTGCATTTTGATAATTATTAACACAGGGATGGCAGGGAGCCAGTGCAATAGACATGAATACATACTACAACACCAGGTTACCAGTGAAGGAGAAACTGCGAGTGGAGTCGCTGGAACCTTTTGACGAGTTTGAGGTATTCGTGCTACATTTTTACCCCAAATCAGCTGTCGTTAAAATGACAATAGTGACTACAGTTGTTTTGTGTTTGTTCTAGTGGCTTGTGGGATGATGATCTAAAAGGCCGAATTACAGTGACCCAGCTGACAGCTGGCCACGATGACAATAACCGGTGAAGCGATGAGTTACAAAACTCACTGACCTCAGAAGCCAATGTCTGACCACGGAGCACAGCCAGAGATCAAAAGTGTTGATTTTTGCCTATGGAGGAAAACCGGAGAGCCTGGAGAAAAACCCTCGTGGCAGAAGAGAGAATCAACGAAAAACTGTACTCACATATGGCCCGAGCTGGGAATCGAACCCAGGCCACAGTGGTGAGAGGAGAGCACTTTATGCACTAGCCACCCATGCCATTGTGTAGAGCTTTCATGACAATTGTTTGCAGGTCACATGTGATCATAAGTTTGTACTGTTTTGCCCTGGCTTTACAGGAATGGCATTTGAAGTGCAGTCACTATGCTGTCATAGCTGGGTGCAACGGGACATGCAGTAACATGGCAGAATTCCTCTCTGAAGGTGAGAAATTCAGCCTGTCGAGAAAATAACAATATGATAAGTGCTATACCATTCCTGAGTGCCAGCTCTTATAATGTCCTGGTGCATTTTCAAAACTGTTCCATTTGAAAAATATGCAAAAAAATCATGAATTTTGCAAGTTTAAAATATTTTTCCTCATACCAGTTCTAGTAGGTGCAAAACAAAACAAAAAGAGAAAATGCCTGGTAAAATTTTAGGTTATGCATTTCTTGAACCGATATACCTTCCCAAGTCATAAAAAAAAAATCACATTTAAAGGCAAAATTATGGTCGGCAACTTTCACAGTATAGAGTTTAGACTTGTTTAGAATCACAGAGTTGTGAAACAATCCCTGAAAATTGAAGAATAAAAAATCACCCAACATCATTTTTGGGTTTAGCAAGCTCTGCGAAAAAGGCTCTGGTTTTGACAGAACATTTCACATATAGCTGGTAATTTTGGTTTACAGGTCATCAACCTTTGACCGCCCAGTGCATCCCAGAGCTTTCGTCGATTGTAACCTTTCCCCTCTCGGAGGCCCAGCAGAAACCATTGAGACGCTTCGGTCATGCAAGCAGCCTACTGTCTGCAGACACGGCCATCGTGGTGGGAGGGTTTGGTGAAGACGGGGGCAAGCACACCAGGCTGGGGGACGTGGTCGTCGTAGATCTCAAAACTGGAAGTTGGGGCATGGTTCCAGCAAGTCATGGCACCCAAGAACTTGGCAAGTTAAAACTGTTAATATTAATTATATTTTTTTCATTTTACTTAAGTATACAATCCCCTTTGCCTTTGAAGTAGCCAGGGATGCCATTTTTCCTGCTCGGCTCTTTCTGGCTTGAGGGATGATGATCTAAAAGGCCGAATTACAGTGACCCAGCTAACAGCTGGCCAATATGACAATAACCGGTGAAGCGATGAGTTACAAAAACTCACTGACCTCAAAAAGCCAGTGGAATTTTTGACGTTAAGTCTCATCACATCAGTGTACCTGAGTGTACAAAAGGAGGTCCACATTTTGCAACTTTGTCTGGGTTCATGAGATCAGTGGCTGATTTCTTGCAAAACATTTTATAATTTGGACAAGAACGGTCACAACATTGTGTTTGTCTCAAAGAGACCACTTTTCAACTGGACAGCTCACTTCCTGCATATGTCTTTCAAGGACAAAGAATGTACCATTAGCTTGAACTACAAATGTCGTGGATTGTTGAGGAATCAGAATGGTTCTTGGCAAAATGCCAAGGAAGTTCGAGTCAACAACTGTACATCCACCTACTTGTTTCTTTGCTTTTCATTTTTTCTTGATATTCTAATGATTATTCGTTTTTGAATTTCAAAGGACCCAGAATGCATCACTCTTTGACAGCCATCTCCGGGGGCAACAGGTGGCTTCTTTTTGGTGGGCGGAGCTCTCCTACAAGACCCTACAATTCCACTCTGATCTTGACCTTTGACACAAAACAGCATGACACGGCTGTAAGAAAAACTGATGATCAAATGTCAGCAACTTCTGAGGATGGAAATCAAGTTTTGCTCCCTGACTCCACAGGTGTGTCACCAAATTGCTTACCTAGTGGGAACAACTCGAGGGCACAGACTAATGCAAATGAAACTGATGGGAGTGGCTTGGGTCTAGTCAGGCTGCAAAACAGGACAGCGAAAAATTGTCAGCATTTTGTTGCGCGCCGTGGAAGGACTGCACAGGCTGAGAACGACAACCCCTCCTCCAATCCAGAAAAATTGAGATATTCAGAGAAAAATCCTTCGTCGAGGGAAAATAGAGTGTGTGATATAACTGGATTTAGCTATCAGTGTAGTGAAACACCAAACTCTGATGGTCCAGTTCCAAGATGGCGTCACTCGGCGATACGTGCTAATGTCAGGGGCAAGGAGTGTGTTGTGATATATGGAGGCAGGGGAGCAGAGGACGCTGTGTTTAGTGACTGCTGGGCGTTTGATGTCGGTGGACTGGACTGGCAAAGGGTGAGTTGGCTCAGTAGGAAGTGTGGAGTCAGTATGAGGATGTCCATGGTTGGGCCTTACTAACATGGGCATGTAAAACAGCACACTCATATCAGATTTAGAGCCTACGAAAGCCCGTTAGTGCCAACATTTTAGTTTTTTGAAAAAGGGTTTTTTGGGGGGGAAAGTTTGTTGTTTTTTGGGGGGGTTTTGGGGGTTTTTTTTAATTTTATTTTGTGTGGAAAGTTTGGGGGTTTTTTGGGAAAGGTTTTTTTTCTTTTTTTTTTGGAATTTTTTTTTTTTTTTTGGAAATTTCATTCAGATTGTGAGTAATTTTGTTGCTTCAAACGAAAAAAAAAAAAAAAACCACAGAAAGCAAATGATCTGATGTGTCTTTAATCCGAACTCCCTAGGGTGATTCACTAGGAACCTTCCTCACTCTTGCAAATCCCACCACCGTATGGTAAACGGTGCACATAAACAGTTGGACTCTGTTTATTTCTGGTATGCCTAATCCCATGTAAAACACAGTCAGTTTACTAGTGCAATACTCATCCTAACAGATTCCAACAAACCCTGATGTTGGAGTTTGGCTGGTTGGGGATCGTTTGGGTTAATATAATTGCAGGTGCGCTGTACGTCATTAAACCACTGGTCAACAAGAATAGAAGGGAATACATGTATGTTGCTCAACTTCATATCTCTTGGATATGCCTGGCTCGTGAACTTCTTTTCTTTTGATTTTAGGTTTTTGCATTTCCCGATAAGTGCTTTGGCTTATTCTTTTGTTTCAGCTAGAGATAACTGGTGACCAGCCACCTGCTTCCCACTCTCACTCTACATGTGTGTGGCAGGATACCAGGATGGTCATTGCTGGTGGTCTGGGCACTGACATGCGACCTTTGACCTCTGTTCATGTCATTGATCTGGAAACCCTGAGGTGTCAAGAAATCAAGCTTACACCTTCATTACCACCAAGGTATGCACTCATGGGAAATTTTGCATTAGGTTGGGTTTGGTTGGGTTCGGTGGGCTGGGTGTTGGGTTTGGTTTGGTTGGTTGGGGTCGGAATGGGTTGTGTTGGGTTTGTTTGGGTTGGGGCTGGGTCAGTTTGGCTGGGTGGGGTTGTGTTGGGTGTGGTGTGGTTGAGTTGGTGTTGATTGGGTTGGGTTGGGCTGGGTGTTGGGGTTGGTTGGGGTTGTGTTGGGATGGGATGGGTTGGGTTGGGCTGGGTGTTGGGGTTGGTTGGGGTTGTGTTTGGATGGGATGGGTTGGGTTGTATTGGGTTGGGACTGGGTGCTGGGTTGGGGCTGGTTTAGTTTGATTGGGTGGGGTTGAGTTGGGTTTGGTGGGGTTGTGTTGGGGCTGGATGCTGGGTGGGGTGAGTGTTGGGGTTTGGACTGGGTTGTAATGGGTTGGGACTGGGTGCTCGGGTTGGGTTGGATTTGTTTTAGTTAGGGTGGGTCGGGTTGGCCTGGGTCTGGTTATGTTGGGTTTCAATAATTTTGCCTTTTGTCTGGCCAACTTATTTGATCACAAATGATTTTCAATTATCAACACAATCTCAACTTGCAGTTTAGAAGTAAATAATATGAAAGTAAAAATAATGGGGGAATCACTGGAAATAAAAGATATTTCAGTTTGCGTTCTTTTGTTTCATCATCAAAACTGCCACCTCGCAAGTACATCAAGCTTTTCTAGGCTACAACATGTGTAGCTGATGTCAAGGAATGTATAGTTAAAGACATACACAAAGTAAGAGGCATTTTCAGCATGAACTACCTGTCATAAACTATTGCCAGGATTGGTTCAACTCTATCGTCTACTTGCTAGCTGTCAAAACAAACAGCAAGTGTTAGTTTCGTATCCTTATTTTATTTCTAAACAAATAAATAGTCTACTCTCAACTCTGGTTGAGTAGGTGTTTAGTAATTCTGATATGATAAAGTAGTGGCATTTGATGTTAGTGTATAAATGAGATTACCACATACATTCACATATTAAGTACAAACAACATACATGTAGTTTTGAATAAAATGAAGTACATGTACATGTACTTCTTTCTGTTTGGTCTTTCAAAATTGTTGATTTCATTATGTCTTATGGGGGGAGTTGTATTGCAAATACTTTTGGAGTGCTCTGATTTCAAATTTGAAAGTTATTTCGGCTAGAAACCCAGCTGAACGCAGCTAAAAGGAAGTACATGTACATGTACTTGACAAAATGACAAGCCTGCCCAGTGTAGCAAGATCCATCAGGTCAAAAGTCTCAAGGCCAAACTGCCTCAGAGTCTGTTTGGCACAGCGGTCTTATCAATCACCTCCAGTCAAAGCACTGGTGTATCAAGTTACTTAAAACAGTCACAGACAGTCAATCCTGCTCTTATAGGCTGTGAACTCTTAAATGTTGAAAATAGTCACTTGATTGATTTTAATTGCAAGGACAACTTGGCACAGAATGTACGTTTGCATAAGAGGTTTAATGGTATGGCTCGCTATAAAATTGTTAACCAATGTTAGAAAACGAGCATTTCAAGTTGATAAATTAGTTTTAGGGTATTATTCCCCAAAAGTATTGACATTATATCCTTAAGGATCAAGGTATGGATTTTTTTTTGTGGGACGTGATATTGTAAGACTCCTTTTTAAGGTTGATACTGAAAGTTCCATCATGATGACCTGTTTCCCTGTTACATGTAAATCTTGTGAAGTATGTCATGTGTATGATGCATTCAATCCTCGATGCTTGAACTTGAATAATTTTCTTGGCTGTAAAATGAGCCGTGAGAAATGGAAGCCAGAAAATGAAACTGATAATGTGCTATTTGACTCTGCCCCTGCATCAGTCAGGATATCTGGGTCTCATTACAAGTCAACAAACCATGCCGGAAGTCTGCAATTTCGCTTCACTTTCAATTGGTGGGAACATTGCTAACTAGTGAAGCATTTAAATGTCAGAAGTTTCTATAAAAGGGTAACTTCTGTGAACTTTGTACATACCTAAAAAAGTACATTGGTCCTTGCTATGGAACACCTGGCATACTGACCTTTTTTCCTTCTTTTCTTCCAGTTTCTTGAACAATAATTTGTATACTGTCACCTGAAAGTACAATTGTGAAGAATCCTAGACAAAAGACTTTTAGAGGGCCCATGTAGTGTAATATTTTTTTAACCCTTACAGAACTCAACCCATCAAACCCCAACAGCATGTTTTGTTGGAATCTGTCAGGATGGGTACAGTACCCCTAAACTGACAGTCTTTTACATTGGGTTGGCACACCTCCAGAAACAAAGTCAGAAATACGTGTGTGCAGTTACCCATATGGTGTTGGAATTTGCCAGGATGGGTATGGTTCCTAGTACATCATGCTAGGGCCTTAGGGTTGTTCATGCAGTCATTCAAAATGCACCTTTGTATCCCATTGAACCTGACTTTCATTTTTTTTTCTGCCATTTTCAAGGGTATTTTGGTGTGATGTCATTTCAGGCAGAAACCTCAATGTTACTTTATTTCAGCACCAAAAGTTGCCAGAATTTTGGATATTTTGCCGTCGTAAATGTTCTTTGGTGATTTGTCGTTGTGTCAGTACATGGCAGTAATGCAGTGAGCAAATAATTCTTACAGATGTTTTAAATGAGCAAAGTTTTGGTTCACAATTTGAACAGAAAACCCCAAAACTGAACAGTGTCCTCACATGACATCACATCGACGTCAGTTGTCCGGAAAAACATGGAAATTTTTTAATTTGTAAAGAATTGCACTTTTAAATCATATAACCAGAAAGGGATGTCAGATAGTTTCATACATTTACAAGGAGTAGAAAGTTGCAAAGAATATGTGACTAAGAAAAATTCATGTTATGGACCCTTTAAAATTGTTCGTTTTTAGACGTTACAGGAAAACCCCAGGATTATATTCCAGGGAAAGCTACAGAATCAAGTAGGGACTAGAAATACCTCATTATTTGAATCCGAGTTGCTGGGATTAAAAATAAGGAAAGTACTACTGCACCAACCTGATTCCCTAATGTTGACTTTTGTTAATGTTGACTTTTGTTAATGTTGACTTTTGTTAATGTTGACTTTTGTTAATGTTGACTTTTGTTAATGTTGACTTTTGTTAATGTTGACTTTTGTTAATGTTGACTTTTGTTAATGTTGACTTTTGTTAATGTTGACTTTTGTTAATGTTGACTTTTGTTAATGTTGACTTTTGTTAATGTTGAGTTTTGTTTGTTGCAGGTACTCACATACAGCCCATGTAGTTGACAGCAGGCTCCTTCTTGTGGGCGGAGTCAACCCCCTCGGTGGAGGGGGTTATACCGTAGCTGTGGTGGATCTGGAAGCTTTAACATGCCGTCTGCATTCCATACCAGTGAGTACATTGTAATTGTTAAAATTGTGAGGTTTCTACATTCGCATCCTGCCTTAGAATTAGGCATTTTCTCTTTCCAAGAGATATTCCTCAGCGTGGAAAATTTGAGAATTTCCCCGAGCTGAAATGAAAGTAGGCATGTTGCTTGAATAATATGTGCCACACTAAAAATGAAGCAATGCGAACTGCACAGGATGTAGTAAATATAGATTCACCTTTATAACTCCCCCGCCTTATAAAAAAGTTCCTCAACGTTTACTTCCGTCTAAAGCTATCATTTTGCAGTCCTTTTTTCCTGATTGAGACCACATCCTTACAAGACCACCGTATAGGAGCAATTTTTATCTCAACTGAAAAGAGATTCAAGATTATCTCCCTGATGTCTTTAATAACAAGACACAACTTTCAAGCTCTGGCATTTTTAATGCTGTCGTCAGTAAATGCACCTTTGCTGAAAGTTTTCGGAACACGCCTCTTTGTCTCAATCGATGCGCATCTATTTTGCATATGAAGTGAGACATTCCGGAACCGGGCCAAAGCTTATTGTGTTTTCGCGCTTTTAACAGCTTACGATTAGCCTGAGCTTGTTGCTTTCCACAACTGATCAACTTTGCTCTACACCAGGGCCCTATAACATCGAGTTTCAACTCTGAACCTTTTTTTGTAGGCATGTGTTGTTGATCGCCCCTTAATGGTTCATGGTCACACCAGCGAGTTGCTAACGGAAACCAGCCTGGCAATTCTCGGGGAGGAGGCAACTGCTTCTCATTTGGTACACACCTTAATGACAGCCCTTTTATGATCGGAGGTCCCCTTTAGTTTAAAGGTTATGATCAGAGTGATCGGAGTGCCCTTTAATTTAAAGAAGCTTTCTCTTCGTGACCAATCCTGATAGTCAATAACAGACACCAGTCTCTGGCAATCCTTGGCGGAGGAGGTAACTGCTTCTCATTTGGTACACACCTTAATGACAGCCCTGTTATGACCGGAGCCCCCCTTTAATTTAAAGGACCTTTCTCTTCGTGACCAATCCTGATAGTCAATAACAGACACCAGTCTCTGGCAATCCTTGGCGAAGGAGGCAACTGCTTCTCATTTGGTACACACCTTAATGACAGCCCTGTTATGACCGGAGTGCCCCTTTAATTTAAAGGAGCTACCTCAACTTGACCAATCCTGCAAGCTAATAACAGGCACCAGTCTCCGGCAATCCTTAGGAGGCGGAATCTGCTTCTCATTTGGTACACACCTTAATGATATGACTGTTATGATCAGAGGGCCCCTTTAATTTAAAGGTACTACAGATAGAGAGCAGATAGCTTTCGTTCACCGCACACGGTAAAACTTTGGGCACAAGTGCCTAGAATTATCAAACACGTTAGATATTTGGCGCAACGTCACGAATGACCGAAAGCTTTGGTAAAACTGACCGCACACGGGAGCTATCTGCTTACGCCACCGGCCACGAATGGCTTTTGGCGAAGCAGATTGCTCTCTGTGCGCCAGGCTTAAAGAGTTTCTTCACATGATGTGGTGGATATTTAAATGTTTTTTATTCCCTTTTTTTGTATAATACAACAAAAACCATTTCTTTACTTACACCAGTTTTATTACATGTATGTGTTGTTTGGGTAAAAAAAATATATATATTTGTAGAAATAAGACCAGTTGACCCATCAAAATGGCTGTCTTCAATCAAATTAAGTAAATTATGTGAAGTTACTTATCCCCAGACATACATGTTCTATACAGCAAATAAAAATGTGTTTATTGTGACAATGAACCCATTATTTTTAAAGGTAGTTATAACCGCTACATGTACATGCATTATACCCACGGGCGTAAATCCCGAGGGAATGGTGGATGGGAAGCCCATATTTTTATGCTTAATAATAAATGTGAGTAATAAAAAGAGATCATCGAAGCCACTCCAAAGTCTACTCATAAGATGGAATTTGTGTCCGAGTGATGCAAATGTTGGGTTTTTACCCTTGCAGTGCCCGCTGCTATATCCGATTTGAACCAGCCAGTCGACCCCGGCAAGCTCAGTGGTCGAGTGGTAAGATGTCTGCACTAGTACAAGTATGTACAGTAAGTGTCCATACAAGATTATTTCCTGGACAGCACCACCTAGTTTCAAACGGTGTTTTGACCCCCCCCCCCCCCCCACCCAGTCATGGGCCTTATTCACGAGTTGGCCATTTTTGTCGCGTTCCCTGAACGTATTTCATTAAGTGCTGACTGTTCAAGGGGATGGCGCCAGACTATTTATGCTGGCACAATGCAGCCTTAATTTACTGGGTTTTTTTTTTAATCTGGCTTTAAACATTACGGAATATTTAATTACAAATTTAAAACTATTCATTGAAGCAGACTGGAATTAGGAATTAACTTGCTTTCATTTCTCTTCGCAAGTTACAAAAATTACATTTTTACCTCACTTTCAATTCAATATGGCCGACTCGTGAATAAGGCCCATATCATGTTATCCTATACTTATGAGGACCCCCTACTGTTCCCTTCTTTTGTTCCTATTGTTTGTACTCCAACTTTTTCTCAACATCTCCACATAAGGTTTGTACAAGAAAACCTCCCGAGGACTTTTCTCAGGTCCCCGGTTTATTGTTATCGCAAATCCCCCATTGTCCCAAGTCCTCAGTTGTAAAGGATGACAAGATCACGCACACACGGATTTTAAGTCATGTGACGATTCAGGATTTGGTCTCATACGTACGTCGACACAGATGTACGCAACCGTCACTGATAACATATAACTGATGCAGTATATATAAACTGGGCAACATACTTGGATTAGAGTTGAAATGTCAAGATAATTGTAATTGTTAAATGCAGTTTCTGCAATTTGAAAACCTCGTCCGTTCGGTTAAGATCCCAACTCGGTAAAATTTCCATCACATGTGTACTGTCCTTATCCTACTATATAGAGTATACACCACCCTAAAATATATTTACATTTTAGTTTCGAACATTTGGCAAATCTCGTCAGGTAACATCAAAGTGCTTTTGCATACTTTTGCATACTTGGTTGAAATATTTGCTAGGATTCCACTGTACATGTATTCCGTTTACATTAGAAAGATATGTACATGGACTGTAGTTATCAGTGGTGTTAAATTATAATGTAAAGAAATGCTATACTGTTTAAAATGTTTCCTTCACCAACTGCGAGTACATTCGTATTTTAAATGTTATCATGAAAAGTATAGTCTTTAAAAAAAAAAGCAATCAATTTATACATTCCCTTACGAAGTTATCGCTTGTCAAGCCGGTGACGTGATTGTACACTTCTTGTTTTTAAATCAAGCACTTTTGTGTGGATGAAGGACTGACAAAGGTTTCAAATGAAATAAACCGAAATTTGGTCTGTTGAAAATGACAGCCACAAACGAAATTGAGAGACCGTATTTTTTTTATTTTAAGGTATAAAAGGACGTCAGTCCAAGCTATAAAAAAAACTCCGTTTTTCGTGACTAAGTGATGTATTAAAACAAACCGAAGATCATTGAAAATGCCTGTTCGTGTTATGGAGCCTATGGTGAAACGGTTTTTCCCAAGCAAACTAACCCTGTAACATTTGCTTTAAATCAAGGGCACGTTCAGGCTCGCCACAGAGAAAGTTCCTTTGTATCTTTTGGCATTTTTTTTTAATTAAGCGTACAAACCGCCTCTGTTACAGCATTTTTTTCGTCTCATGGCCTTGAGGAAATCCGAGGGCTCCGGGATGCTGTCCCACTTGCGGCGCAGGATGCAACGGAAGACAGTCTTGAAGTCGCGGTGTTTGGTGGCATAGATGATCGGATTGACGCAACTGTTGAAGACCAGGAACGCAGCGGCGTAGGGTAGGAACGGGTCGCTGTCGTCGTAGAACAGGCAGATGGCAAACGGAGTCAGGCAGAGCAAGAAGGCACAGACGATGTAGAACATGTTCTTGGTGATCTCGTTCTGACTTCGTTTGACCCGGGCTGGGTCCAGGGAGCCCTGGCGTGTCGGTGACCGGCGCAGGGTGGCTACCGATTCAGAGACCGTGGATAGATTCATGGTAGCGGAGTCGGCTGGCTCCTCTGCTTTGGAGGTGACTCGCTCCGCATGGCGCCGGAGATGCCTCCAGATGAGTGCGTAGCAGACGATAATGGTGATGAGCGGGAGTGGATAAAGACCCCCAGCTATGATGAGATCGTAGTCGTTTGAGCGTTCATGCGAAGAGCTGAAGCCACAGTGGTGATACTTTCTGTTGTAGCCTACCTCACCCACACCGAACAGGGGAGGCAGGAGGGTAAGTAGGAACGGGATGAGCCAGGTAACTACCATACAAGCAGCTATCTTCCTCTGGGAGTAGATGGCCTGGTAGGTTGTAACCGGACGAGTGATCAGCAACAGGCGCTGTAGACCGATGGCAGCTAGCGTGTAGGTGCTGCAGCCGATAGTTGTGGATTGGACCACGGCCACCACGCTACACACCCACTCGCCGAAAGGTGGTCCGTCCATGCCGAGCATAGCTGCCGCATCCCACGGGACGACCAGACATGTCAGCAGGTCTGCGACGCTAAGACTCACCACGAAGGCATTGGTGGCTGTACGGAGCTTCCTTGACAAGAGGACGGCCTGGATAACCAGGGTGTTGCCAACAATTCCTAGCAAGGCTATGATTAGGTACAAGACAGCCACTATGACTCGCTGGGTGTAGTCACTGAATTCAAACGCCTCTTCACTGTCATCTGTCGAGTTATACTCGATTTCATCGTACTCGTCATCCATGGATACGGTTGCCCGAGTGCAACAAGAGCGGCAAAACAATTCGGCCTATATACGCCTTTAAGTTTAATGTGCGTCTTCTGTGGATGTGCAGTCTCTGCAAACCTTTTCTTGCAACCGAATGCAAGCTTGAATCAGAAACTGTGATCTCCTAGCTATTCTGGACAGTATTCATTGCGTTGGCTTCTTCTGATTACAGAAGCACTTCTAGCAGCAGACTTACACATTTCCATTTATTTCCTGGTTTCGATTGTCTATTGTGAAAGTTTCATACGGTGAGTCGTCAAATAGCACTGAAGGTAATCAAGTTTTCTTCAGTTACCCCTCTGGCAAGTTTAGAAATTGACACAACCGGAAAAATACAGGTTATTTTTGCTGGCTGCTGTGTTTGTGTTTCTACAATGCGCCGGTAGCTGCCACAATGAAAGTGTAGGCCTACTGTATTTATGTAAACCTTTTGTGAGGCTACGGGCTGACGTCATGACCCTTGCCGCCTGCATGATGTAGGCCTACTGTGCCGGAGGCTTGTATCACACATTCCTCGCCATAGTCAAGGTAGACATTGTAACCTTGAAACTTTGTCTGGATTTTAGTTTCCAGTTTAAAAATAGCCTGTCTGCCATGATGCCATCTGTATACCGAACAGTTTAATATTGTTATCATTCTTGAGGGTTTTGTTGGGCACTGTTTGCACTTGTGTCCAGTTTGGACCGAAGACAGCGTTTTGATCAATTATAGTTGCTATTTCGGCAAAACAAATTCACTTGTTTGTCTATGAATAATATTGGATTAAGACAAGCAGCGGCGGCGGCACAGTTTTCAAACTGGGGGGGGGGCATCGCCAAAAAAAGGGGCACTTGCACGGTAAAAGGGAGTTTTTTTGGCACATACGTGCTGAAAAGTCGACACGTTTTTGTTCACCGGACACTTGGCCTTCGTCAAATCAAATAGTTGGGGTGGGGGTGGGGGATGGTACCACCTTCCAAAATAGGGGCGCTCTTCAAACCGGCCTTCATGCAAACTACATGTACCACTGTAAGGGTTTTGGGGCTAACTCCATACCATTTTGGGAAATACTGCAGAAAACAAATTATCCGAAATTCTAGGGCAAGTTTTGTTTTCATCTCGAGGGTCCCACATACATGTATATGCTCGAGGGGGCACATTTATATCCGCAAGAGGGGCACTTAGGTAAATCTGGGGGGCAAGTCCCCCCCCCCCCCTCCGGTCCGCCGCCCCTGAAGACGGGGAACAAAGCAGTTGCCTTGTACTGTGTATTGTGTCTTGTTTCATTCTTGGATCGTATAAACGGACGTCGAGGTTATTCATCCTTTTGGTTTACATAGGCTTTTCCGCCATCTGCGGAATTAAAGCCTTTTTTCTGATCTTTTTCCCTCTCCTTCCTTTTGTTCGAACCCATATCCCATGGACTTTGCACACGATATTTCTAACAGCCACTTCGGAATTTTGAATGCTCAGATCTTGATCAAAGTCTACACCAAGTTTTAATAATAAAAACCGTTATTGCAAAGATGTGCCGCGAAGATGGACATAGTGATCACGTCACATCAAAGGTCTTGTGTCCAACTTGGTTGCAACTTGGTTGTTTACAGACAGGGATGTGTTGTGAATGAAAACGGAAATGAAGTTGGCATGTGTCATAGATGAAGATTGAAATAGCGTGATAATTATTTTATCCAGTCAAGCCATGTGACGTCATATTTTAGGTTCATTTTTTATGACGTAATTGTATTGGTGTCGTCTTTATTGCATAATGGACAGAATCAGGCCAATTAATTGATGTCTTCTCGTGACCCTTGTTTTCTTTTGAGTGCGCCATACAAACATAATGGACAACACAAGAGTTTGCCCGAGGTTGGTTAATCTTATTGAAAAGTGCACTTCTTTTGACATATAAAAATTTCTTTGCTTTTCCAGACAAAATAATGAGGGTACTGTTGCTGTGATGTCATTTCAGGAAGACACTGCTTTCTGCTCAAATTGTGAACCCAAACATTTGCTCATCTAAGACTTTTGTGAGAAAACTTTGTTCATTGGCCTACTGTCGTGTACTGAGACAAAACAACGAATCAACAAAGAAAAAAAACATTTACGACAGCAAAATATCAAGAATTCTGGTTTGTACTGAAATAGTTGTAACATTGACTTTCCTGCCTGAAATGACATCACACGGTTGCCCATGAATGTGCACATTTGCATCAGCATAAAAACAAAAAAAACACCAAAATTGCTCTTAAAAAAAGGCAAAATGAAAATTGAAAATAAGTTTAAATTGGACACAATGGAGCATTTACAAGGACTTCATTAATAAAATACATTAAATGGTCCCTTCAACGAATAAAAGGGTATATGCCTAAAAATATATACATGTATTAAGGTATACCCACTAGGAAATGCTATCATATTTGTTTTTTTAACTTATGGTAATAAAACAAGTAATGTGCCACCATTAAAGTTTTGCCGGCCTCAGATACCGACATCTGATCTTCCCATGGACTAGCTGTTCGTTTTGAGAGCGGATCCTGCCGCCTGTACTTTTCACCGCAAGATGGCTGCAGTGTTGTCGGTTTACACCCATGAGTTTTCATCACTGTCCCCGCAACAATTAGTCCGTCTCATGGCTTTCAGAAAGTCCGAGGGTTCTGGGATGCTGTTCCACCGACGACGCAAGATGCAGCCGAAGACTGTCTTGAAGTCACGGTGTTTGGTGGCGTAGATCAGAGGGTTCACACAGCCGTTGAAGACCAACGTAACCGTAGCATACGGCAGGACCGGATCGCTGTACTCATAGAAAAGACAAATCGCGAAAGGGGTCAGGCAGAGAATAAAAGCACAGACGACGTAGAACATGTTCTTCGTGATCTCGTTTTGTCGGCGATCCAAACGGGGTTGGCTGGCTGCACGGTGAAGTTCGCTTAGGCTTCTCGTTGTGGAAGTCACCGATCTGGGCTCCATGTGGATGGAATCGCAGGATTTGTCCGGGGGACTGACCATCCTCTTGGCATGACGGTTGAGGTGCAACCAGATGAGCACGTAGCAAACTACAATGATAATCAGAGGGATGGGGTACAGAGCCCCAGCTATGATGATGTTGTAATAAGTTGAAAGGGGGTGAGATGACATGAACCCGCAATGGTGGTACTTTGGGTTGTAGCCTACGCCACCCACGCCAAAGAGCAGTGGAAGGACGGTTACAAGCAGCGAGACAGACCAAGCCGCTACCAACCACAAAACGATCTTAAAATTCGGTGTGTAGATGGCACGATAGGTAGTCATTGGTCGTGTGATCAGTAGCAGGCGTTGTAGGCCGATTAAGGCCAATGTGTAGATGCTACAGCCGGTCGTGATTGTCTGGGTGCCAGATACCACCCTACAAATCCAGTCGCTAATCGGTTGGCCGTCCTTACCCAGCAACTCAACGGCATCCCAGATAATTACCACCGATGTCAAAAGGTCAGCTACGCTCAGGTTCACCACGAACGCGTTGGTGGTCGTGCGGAGCTTCCTGGACAAAATCACGGCCATGATGACCAGCGAGTTGCCGCTGATTCCCAGAACGGAAGCGATCAGGTACAGGACGGCCACCAACACTCGCTGGTTGTAGTCGCTGAATTCGAACGGGAGGGAGCCATCGGTGGAGTTTCCGCCTTCCAGAAAATCATCGCTGTATTCATCATGGTACAAGGATTTTGTTCCATCCATGGCTGAAGTACCTTGCTCACGTGGTAAGCCTATGGACTATGGTGTGCATAAAACAGTAATACTATTCCAAAAGTCACAATCTCCACATGTTTATGCCAACGTAGTCTGGTGTCCAACATCAAACATCAGTTACGTAAACTGGAAACTCTGTTGCCACAGATATAACTAGGGCTTAGCTCCATGGTTTAACAAAGTCCTTGAGTCCGTCTGAAACAAGCTTTTTAAGCCTATACAGTTCTCACTTTGTCGTACGGTTAACGCCAGCAATGCCAAATGTGTAGGCCAATGGGCGCACGAGCAGCACCGTACCAAAAATGATCTTTAGCATTTCGGCCTGACATTTACCGAACTCAATACAATATCGCAGTGACGTCTGCAGCAAACTTTAGTTCATAGCATTTGATAAGTAGGCCAATATGTTTGCTGTATAGTTATCGATCTGCGATAAGTCATACGCAGTCATGTAAGGTGTTTGGCATTCGCCGCACGGTGCATAGGCTTAAGCGGCATTATCCTTGCTGAATATAATGCTTACACTATCACGGTTGTTGGTCAACTTTTGTTATGGTAATTCCTGAAGCTTTGTGGCATGAATCAGGAGGAATTCTTATATACTAAATAGTTGCATAATTCACTTCACTTCGCTGTATTTTCCAGGTCGTGACTCACCTTCGACACCCGTATTTCAAAGGTAATCTCCATATTTGGCAGATTTTTTTCGATGGGTATCAAAACGCTAACAAAAAAGGTTTGAGAAAAGTAAACGGTACTCGATCGAGCGAGGAAACTGTTCCGTGTTTTATGACACGTACCACCCGAAGGCTTCATCGATACAGCTTTTGTCTGCACTTTTGTGTCCGGTGTTACTCGGGATTTGCCAGACTTTACGTACAGTCGTGAAGGGTTAATACTAAAATAGGCCAGTACACGAGCAAGAAGATTTGTCATTCACACCGCATGTTAATTGTGGAAATTATATATTACCATGAACACTCCAGACACTGAATGTAGAGGCAACTATAGCTATAAGTTAACTTTATCGAACTCTCAATGAAACACTGTTCAACATTCAATGTAAAGTTTTGTTTTAATAACTCTATTTTCAAGAAGCACAGATGATAGTACGGCAGATAGGTGATGGGATTGTGCTTTGACGAATGACGATACAAGCATGGAATTTGGCACACAGTCAGAATATGTCATGAGAAAGATATCTGGCTATAGAGCCATCGCAGAATAACAAGCAATCCATTTTGAAAAAAATTGAAAATGTCTTGTTATTCTACCTGTATATTTTTTCAAAGGACAAACCTGCGATGGCCCTTTAGCCAAATATCTTTCTTACGGCATTCTCTCACTGTGCGCCAAATGCCATGCTTGTATCATCAAAGGCACAATTCCCCCAAATATTTCCCCTATCTGCCCACTATGAGTTCTGTCGTTAAATGTATAAACGGTATGCGTACAAAAGTCAGCTCCGTTGCTAAATTTCTTTATAATCTTAAAATCTCAAAACTCACATCTTGCAACTTGAGCCAACTTATTCTTAAAACGGCATATTCCAATATTGTTGGCCAACATGAAATTACGTGAGCGCGGGACGCGTGGTTTTGTGCAAGGCCTTTCGGGTCTAATTCCTATATTATTTCTATCTTTAGTCCTAGAGACTTCTGAAATTAAACCTTGGTGTCCGCCACTTCGTTTATGACACTAATTTAATAACAATTGATATGTTTTATTGTTCTGAAATTGCTAATTACTTCCGAACAGCCTAGGTTTGCACAATCTAAACAATACAAGTATATTCGTTGATCGCGTTTACAAGTTTCAGATCCACTAACTGAAACAAATACGAAGAAGACTAAGAGGTATAAAAGTCGTAAGACAAAAAAACGGATTCTGCAATTCTGGGTTTTTTTAAGTACACTCCGTCCCTTTGTGCTTAACTTGTTATGTAAACCGACAGCATAATCACTAACTCAATAATGATGTGGCATAATGTCTTGCCCCTCACCAACGTAATGTGAATGCAATGTAATTTCGTGTTCAGGTAGGCCTTAGTTTCGAAAAAAATAATAATTGAAATGTCATTGGTGTTGCATCACAGCTCGTCTTGGTGTTGTATCAAAGCTCGTCTGTTGGAAGTGAAGTCATTATTTTCGCATATTGGTCCAGCAGCTTCGACATTTCATTTGTCTCAGAGTCTTAAGCACATCCGAGGGTTCTGGGATGTCCTCCCACTTGCGGCGCAGGATGCAACGGAAGACAGTCTTGAAGTCGCGGTGTTTGGTGGCGTAGATGAGCGGATTCACGCAAATGTTGAAGACCAGGATCGCAGAGGCGTAGGGTAGGAACGGGTCGCTGTTGTCGTAGAACAGGCAGATGGCAAACGGAGTAAGGCAGAGCAAGAAGGCACAGACCACGTACAGCATGTTCCTGGTGATCTCGTACTGACGGCGGTTCATCCGGGAGCGGCTGATGACGGTACCCTGGCTGCGGGTAGGCGCCCGGTTCAGCTGTCGGGGAGCAGACGGTGAACGGATCACGGAGACTGACAATGTGGCAGGGGCTGATGAGGAACAGTTGTTTAATGTTTGGCCAGGGTCCTCAGGGGCGCTGAGCATCTTCTTAGCGTGGCGATTGAGATGTCTCCAGATGAGAGCGTAGCAGACGATGATTGTGATGAGAGGGATGGGGTACAAGACTCCTGCTATGATGACATCATAGGTGTCTGAGCGCGGATGATAAGACTTAGACCCACAGTTGTGGTATTTTCGGTTGTACCCGACACCACCAATGTCCATAAGTGGCGGTACGAGTACGATAAGGAGAGGGACCAGCCACGTGACTACCAGCCACACGGTAATCTTCCGCGGCGTGTCAATGATTCGATAGACGGTGGCCGGACGCGTGATCAGCAGCAAGCGGTTCAGTCCTACGGATGCTAGGGTGTACATGCTGCAGCCCACCGTCGTGTACTGCAAGACGGCGACTACGCTGCAAATCCACGCATTGATCGGTTGGCCGTCCTTACCCAGCAATTCTACGGCATCCCATGGGATCACCAGTGACGTCAACAAGTCCGCTACGCTCAGATTCACTACGAACGCGTTGGTGGTAGTACGGAGCTTCCTAGACAAAATCACGGCGAAAATGACCAGCGAGTTGCCAATGATTCCCAGAACGGAAGCGATCAGGTACAGGACGGCCACCACCACTCGCTGGTTGTAGTCGCTGAATTCGAACTCCGGCGGGATCTCCGTGGTGTTGTGCACGACAACACTTTCCCGGAGAAATCCATCGGAGTAGTACGATTCGTCGTCCATGGCTCACCCTGCTGCTTTGTGAAATGATGATTCAGTCTGACTTCATTGAAATGTGTACTACCGGGAAACTGCAAAATCCTGTACAGGCCTTAATTACCTTGAAACTTGTAAAACCGCCGGTGAGTGACACTGGGTTAAATTTCGTACTGTGGTTTACAATTCGGCGCGTAGGCATGACGGTTTGACCTTGGATTAAAAAGTGCATAATCGTGGTTATTTTTTTCCGGTTTATACCTCCGGGTTTCACGTTTTCGGTGCGCCAAAATGATTGATTATGTCGAGTGGCATGATTCAACTGACGTGATTTTTAGACTTAGTTTATTTATTTTAAGTCGTGATTATATTCAATGCAGTTAAAGGGAGATGTCGGTCGGATGTTTTTTTTTCCGACTTCCAAGTACGATCCCAGGCTTTTTACAAAACTACAATTGAAAGTTTTGACGTGGACCTCAAGAAAGGTTGATAGAGAGTGCGGAATCATTATTTTCTTTTTATCCAATATTCTCTTCTTCTTAATTGTCCTTTAATTATACTTAAATGTCTCTGATACCGGGGCAGAAATATTGTTCAACGTGTTCGGCTTGGGCGTAGCAGGGGCCGGGGGAGGGGGGGGGCACTTAATTGCCCCCCCCCCCCTTTGAAAAGCAAAGAAAGAGAGAGAGAAACAAAAAGGAAAAAGTAACATGGACATTGATTTGTTCACAACCGGTGCTTTCTCCCTTCGCTTCTGGTGAGTGCTTTGCCCCCCTCTAGAAACAATCCCAGCGACGCCCATACGGGCATGCCAAATCAACCAGCACCATTCCACCTTACCACCCGCACATAGTTACGTGTAGGCCTACATCTGAAAAAAAAATTATCACAGGCAATTTTACTGCAAAATCAACAATTGTGTTTCCACAAGGAACTACATAGACAAATTCATTACTACGTCATCTATTATTTCCTGCTTACCTTGAGCATAGTTTATTCAATTCCCTTCCACGAATTCCGGACCCAGGAAACACCTGTCAATTAATTGTTCCTATTGTATTGGTTGCAAATAATATTATTGGATTCTTGTTTCAGTACTTCATTCAATGGGACTGGGCCTTTCATAGTGCACGTAACCTGTTACATTTGTCAAAGAACCATACATGGGCAGGTACATGGAGTTATTCTTTCGGTTTTTTGTTTTGTTTTCGGTTTGTAAGATTGAAACGAAACCGAGAGAAACATTAACAGGAAGTGCATCGTTTTACTGCGATCATCGAAACATTTCTCTAATGACTGAGCTTTTAAAGTTGAAAGGGGTGTGATTTAAATAAAAGACTATATTTTTTTTTAAATGTTGGAAAACAAATGTGATACTTTGTTCGGGACAAGCTGCATGGTAAGATCTTTATCTCTATACTCATCAAGTAGTGTTATACAGAACCGGTAGTTCCTCTTATCATCTCTTTCGATGCAAACGTAGAGGGCGTTTCAAGTTGGCAGCTGGAGGCAATAATTTTTTTCTGCAACCAGCAGGTATTGTTAATGACCATAATGCGCATGCGTCAGTTGAATGAGAAACAAAGGCTGAATTTCATTTTATCGATCATCAGGAGTTGAAAACACAATTTAGGAAACGAAATTCACTCATGCGCACAACCTCATATTAACCAATTGAAAGTCAATAGACCATTATCATATTCAAGTGCGGCCATCATGATTTTTCTCATTCAAACCAACGTAACTCTAAACTAAAGCGAGACTAGAAGGAAAAATAGTCTGATCCTTTGTGCACAAAACACAATTATCAACCAATACTGTTATTGGATACAGGGAACATGACTGGAATGTGGCAGCATGATAAAGGTCAATTGAGTACGTGCACATGCACATACTTTCTCCTGTGCTATCACAGAAACATTCATTAACACTTACAGCAGTCATCGTAACTCATGAATTTGGTCATCGGAAGTATTCGGGCATCTCCACTGCAGAATAATGAACTTTACCACACATATGTTTCCGTCATACGTGTATAATGCTGAAGATACAGCTTCTGAATTGTTTATGACTTTAAGTTTTTGCCTTTTAATGTCGACAAATTGGGCAACACGCATCGGGTTTTCCCTATCAAAGACGTGCTGCTCGTGCTATTTTCGAGTTTCACCCCCCAAAAAAGTTGCATTTTTACGCTGATACAAAAGTTATTCACTTTTAATGAGACAGCGACAGAAAAAAAGTCGTCGCACGTTTCAATGTGGATTATTCTATAATGCGACATGACAATAATCAAGTTATCCCGGGGCAGACTGGTGTCCCCCCCCCCCCTTTTTTTTTTTTAACTGGAAGCGCTAATGTAGGGACCGGGAACCAGTCTACGCGCAGGGCGGATCTGGCCGGATGTGCTACATATTATACAATGTATAAAGAAACTTTAGAAAAGGAAACTGGAGTCTCTATCTGTCATCGATTCTGACTCCGAATTTATTTTACGAAAGCAGGAAACATACCACAAAGGACCTTTTCATAAAGGGTGGCGTACGTGCAAAATAAGGGGGGAAACGATTTCTCGTTAAAATAAAACACTCGAAAGCCAAAAGAAGGGAGACTCGAAATCTTTGAAGAGGTGGACAGTACTTTAAAGGGCTCGACATGGAATTGTACTTGGGAACACATTGTGTGAAACTCTCTATTCCTCTTAAATGTATGAAAACTATTTTACATCCCTTTTTGGTTAATAATGAAAAGCGCACTTTCTTAAAACATTGACAAATTATTGTCCATGCTTTTCCTGACAACTGAGGGCGCTGTTGCTGTGATGTCATTTCAGGAAGCCACTGTTCAGTTTAGGGATTTTCTGTTCAAAGTGTGAACCCAAAATTTACTCATTGAAAACTTTTGTGGAAAAACTTTGCTCATTGTCCTACTGTCATGTACTGAAACAACAATGAACCATCCAAGAAGAACATTTACGACACGAAATATGAACATTCTGGCGAATTTTGGTGATGAAATAAATGTTACATTGAGGTTTCTGTCTGAAATGACATCACACTTTTGATCATGAGTAGGCCTATGCAAATTTCGCATTAGCATATAGACCAAAAAGGCACCAAAAAGCCCTTAAAAATAGCTCAATCCCTTTGATATCCAAATGCAAATGTTCCGGCACATTTAATATCAAGCGTGGGCTGTCACCAGGTTTTCCCTAAACCTTTTAATTTGGTTATAGTCATCAAGGAAAACGAAACTTGCCCTTTTTGTACGTGCATGTCACTCATTTGTCAGTGTGCATATAACATGTTTATTCAGGCAGACCTGAACCTGGAGTTTGGAAAGGAAAACATTGCGTGACGGAAAGACATGTATTTGTCAAGGAGTCATGGTGCCGGATGATGACCAATCCACTCTTAAGTATTTCATTGTGCCAATCGAAAGTAGCTTATCGTATACCATGTTGGGCCTGCTTTGGTACCTGGACACTGGAGGGGTAACACAACTAGAGTGTAGGGCGGAGGTGCTGGATAGGCCTATTTTCTACATTGATAAGTAAATGGTGATATAGTTTTTTTTAACAAGCTAATGTTGATGAAAACCAAAATTAGGTTTTGCCCTTCACCGACGCATAAACACTGTATACTCGGTGTGTGTTATACGTCGGTGAAGGGCCAAACCTAATTTGATTTACATCACCCCGACGCAAAAATTCCATCATATTAATGTTGATGAACATGACCCGTCATCACGCATGCCGTTTTAGTTGAATATTTTAAGCATTACCAAGGTGGTGCCGCAATCTTCATCTGTGTGTAAGCAGGCATGCGGCTACAAAATCGTAAAGAAAACGTCTTTCACCCTGGAAACAGATTTTGTTTTTTAATTGCTATTTTCTTCGGCAAAACAAAAATTATTTGAATGATTTGCGGCCCGACATAGTATATTTTGTCATGGGTTATGCGTGCAAACGCACATCAAAAGTCAAAATGAAGGCATCATCCTCAGAGGGTTGAAAACGTCAAAATGGAAAACAAAATAAGCTCTTGAAATAAAACATGAAAATTGAAAATGCGATATTAGATAAAAATCAAATGTGCCTGGCTAGAGCAACTTTAAAACCTATTTTCAAAAATGTCCCAAAGCAACCCAACAAGCTGAATGTTGTATTTAACCGCGCAAACGTGTACTGTACACCTGAGGTATAGGTGCGTCCCGTGTAATTACACGCATGAATTCCGATCGGCCGCCTATAATAATGAAAGCACGCTACCTTTTTTGATTGATTTGGAAATTCGAAATCCTGTCATGTTTACATTGCTTTGTCAGTGCTTTTAAGGTTTCCACGAGGCCGAGTTTTTGTGGATTTTACAAATATCCCCTTCCATGGCTTCCGTGTAGCTTGAACGAGCCTGCCACATGAAATCGAAACTGTAATTGACAACGAGAAAGAAATAACAAACCACGGAGCGGAACCAGCGGAAATCGAAGAGCAATACTAAATAATATTTTCTCTCAATACAAAACGCTTGTACCAGGTGTCCCCAAAAAGTTGTGCAAGCAGATATCCTTTTATACATGTATCTCAAAAACTAGTATTTCACCTTGATGGAGCATATTGATTATACTCTTGTGTTTCAGCAAAAAAAATCCATGGAAATCCGTTCATGCAAAGAGATCCAACAGATTATAAAAGGCCATTGGTTTTTCACCCACTCCGATGGGATTTACACAGTTAGTGTTATCAGTGCATCAGATCGTCATGGGCCTTTTGCTCTGATGTAAATTAAGTTACGGGTGCAAATCCCATCCCATTGGAATGGGTAAAGACCCATAGCCTTTAATAATCCGTTAGATCTCTGGTTTGCTCATAAAATACTCACTTTAAGTAGTTTGAGAAATTACAGGATATCTGCTTGCATAACTTTTATGGGGACACCCTGTATATTACGAGTCAAAAAGAAAGTGACTGTGCCGCCAGTAAACAAATATCTTAGAAATTATGGGACTAGCTGTATTTAATAAAAACTCATGGGGAATAAGGTACCTGTTATCGACTAGTAAGTGTGAACATTTCACGTAATGCTCATACTCGATTCACAAGTTATTTCTATTTCAATACAAATACTACAAAATTCAGCTGCATGCCACCACTGATCATTTACCGATATACACAACTGATAGTATAAAGTAAAGTCTGTCCCGACACACATTGAGAAATACCCCTTTAAATACAATGAACCATGTCTTTTTCCCACCTTCATGAATGAACGAAAACTTACAAAGGAAAACAGACAAAAATCACCATCATCGGGTCAGAAATGGCTTGATCTGTTCCTCGTAACTATACGAAACACAACATCTGACAGTAACATTAATGTTTCAGTCTTGATTCAAATTATCAAAATGTCATTATTTGAATACCTGTGATTGGTAAATCTCTGGTTCTCACTCAGCTTGAATAGCTTCAAAGCATTTAGAATTCCATGGAGTTGTAAAATGGATTCGTTTAAACATGCCTAACTTCTGAAAGCATGGATAATCCGGGGTTTTGTTTTTGGTTTTGTTTTTATAAGAGTGTTTTTTTTTACGAGTTCAATACAGGCTTCATTGGTATATCGAATTTAATTGCTTTTTTAAAGGAAAAAAGGAATTAATCCTTTTCTTTTTGACTCACACTGTACATATTTACAAAGTATCTAAAGTGAGTGCAAAAATTAACCTACAATATACCTTATTACATATCCACCATCCCCATTGCGATCAGTTTCCTTAAAAAGCACTTGCATAAATATCTAGTTTTCTAAATACCATATTTTAATTGTTAAATAACTTGATAGTTTTTAATCCGAGTCAAGGTCACATCAGGCACATTGTGGATGTCGTTCAGTATGTTAAAACTGATGCCTGAATATGAGGCTATAAAACGGCTCAGCTATTGTTGCGGCTGTTAAAGTTCGAAATAAGTACTCGTAAGATTTTCTACTAGTGGCGTACCGATATTCAGAAAAGCGCGATTAATATAAAAAAACACCGGATAGTCCGAATGATTTTTACACGAAATGCGAAAGTCCGCACAGTTTTAGGCGAACATACCTCCCCCTCCACAGCATGGCATTTTACCCGATATCAGCGTCTTCAGAAAATCCGAGGGTTCTGGGATGTCCTCCCACTTGCGGTGAAGGATGCAACGGAAGACGGCCTTGAAAACACGATGTTTGGTGGCGTAGATGAGCGGATTGACGCAACTGTTGAAGACCAGGATCGCAGAGGCGTAGGGTAGGAACGGGTCGCTGTCGTCGTAGAACAGGCAGATGGCAAACGGAGTCAGGCAGAGCAAGAAGGCACAGACGATGTAGAACATGTTCTTGGTGATCTCGGTCTGACGGCGACTCACGTCGGATTTGCGGAGGGTTCCCTTCGTAGCCGTCAATGTCTTGGCATGGTTGCTATTCACGGTAGCTTCTGATTCTGACGCCACTGTCATCTGGGTGGCCATCGACTCGGCTGAGGATTCAGGAGCAGTCACCTTCTTGGCGTGATTGCGGAGATGCTTCCAGATGAGAACATAACAGACGATGATGGTGATGAGAGGGATGGGGTATAACCCAGCAGCTATGATGAGATCGTAGTCGTTGGAGCGGGGATGGGTGGATGGGAACCCACAGTGACGGTACTTCTTGTTGTAGCCGACCGCACCCACGTCTGCGAGTGGTGGGATGAGAGTGACGAGCAGCGGGATACACCAAGCCACTGCCAGCCACACGGCAAGCTTCCTCGGCGTGTAGATGACTCGATAAGTAGTCATAGGCCGCTTGATCAGCAGCAGGCGTTGCAGTCCGATGGAGGCCAGGGTGTACATACTGCAACCTATAGCCGTTGCCTGTACCACGGCAGTCACGCTGCACACCCACTCACCGACAGGCAAGCCGTTCGTGCTGAGCGTGGCGACGACGGTCCACGGGAGGACCAGACAAGTTGACAAGTCCGCTACAGCCAAGTTCACCACGAAGGCGTTGGTGGCCGTACGGAGCTTCTTGGACAACATCACGGCCAGAATGACCATAATGTTGCCCACGGTTCCCAACAGGATCACGATCAGATACATGACGGCCACTATGACTCTCTGGGTGTAGTCATTGAATTCGAATCGCGGGCTCTCCGTCGAATTGCCGATAGAGCCGTTTGCCATTTCATCATCCATGTTAACGTTTCAAGAGATTGTTAAACGTACCCTCTAAAACAAGGATTTCTCGAAGATTAATAGTCTTGAAAAACAAACCGCCACTGGCAACGCCAAATATTAATAGCAGACGGTACTTTTTTTCTCACATGAACATAATAGGACTACAGTAGACTGTAAGAGTCCACTTCTTTAATTCGACCCTAGATGCGTCTGTGACATTAAACGAAACTTAGGTTTCCAGATACGATCAAAACTTCGAGCAGTCAAAACCTTGACACGCAAACTGTCTGAGTAAAGTTTCGATCTCAACGTAGGTTTTTATAGCATCACAACTAGCACACGTTTTCCGGTTGTACGTGCACAGAGTACTAGTATTACTTGTACTCTGTGGTATTATTATATATTACTCATTGGGTGTTTTCCCGTGCACGGTTTACCGCGTCCATAGAATGCAATATGAGACACGCGGATACGAAACTGGTACAAACCTGACTTATCTTTTTTTGTTGCAGAATTGAAAGGGCTACGGTATAGAAGAAAACAAAAATGGAATTAAACCCAAATTTTAGAACTTGTAAACAAGGCATGACAAATAAGATGGAGCGAGTTTCATCAACTTCGTGCAAGGGGGTGAGATTTAAAAGGCCATACGAAAAAAAAACAATACTCACTTTCAGAATCTGCAACCTTCGACTTGGCGTCATGTCGATACAGTGCTGGGGACTGTGGCGGAAAGCTTCTGAAAGAGTGCAGGATCATCCCTGATGTCATTGCACACCTCCTCGATCGTGTGTTGCGCCAAATTCTTTAAATTCTATAAAAGGCAAAAGGAGCATCAATCAACATTCAAACACCAAATATATTGAAGATTTGGGCAAAAATCTTCGATATTTAGAGGAAAATAAATCATTAATTTTGACTGATTTCACCCCAAATTTTCGGAAATTTTATTTTGAAAAGCAAATGTGTCCAGAAATCGAATTGGAATGTGTTCTATGGTCCTCAGGCATCTTTTCAGCAATTTTCAAGCCATTTCATTTTTGGCCAAAATTGAAAAAAATACAAGGGGTAAGCCTTACTTTTTTGATGAAATTTGGCCAAAAAATGAATTTTCTTCAAACTATGCAGAAATTCTTTAAAAGGCAAGAGGAGCATCAATCAACATTCAAACACCAAATATATTGAAGATTTGGGCAAATATCATCGATATTTAGAGGAAAATAAATCATTAATTTTGACTGATTTCACCCCAAATTTTCGGACATTTTATTTTGAAAAGCAAATGTGTCCAGAAATCGCATTGGAATGTGTTCTATGGTCCTTTAGGCATCTTTCCAGCAATTTTCAAGCCATTTCATTTTTTGGCCAAAATTGAAAAAAATACAAGGGGTAAGCCTTACTTTTTTGATGAAATTTGGCCAAAAAATGAATTTTCTTCAAACTATGCAGAAATTCTTTAAAAGGCAAGAGGAGCATCAATCAACATTCAAACACCAAATATATTGAAGATTTGGGCAAATATCATCGATATTTAGAGAAAAATAAATCATTAATTTTGACTGATTTCACCCCAAATTTTCGGACATTTTATTTTGCAAAGCACATGTGTCCAGAAATCGAATTGGAATGTGTTCTATGGTCCTTTAGGCATCTTTCCAGCAAGTTTCAAGCCATTTCATTTTTTGGACAAAATTGAAAAAAATACAAGGTGTAAGCCTTACTTTTTTGATGAAATTTGGCCAAAAAATGAATTTTCTTCAAATTATGCAGAAATTCTTCAAAAGGCAAGAGGAGCATCAATCAACATTCAAACACCAAATATATTGAAGATTTGGGCAAATATCATCGATATTTAGAGAAAAATAAATCATTAATTTTGACTGATTTCACCCCAAATTTTCGGACATTTTATTTTGCAAAGCACATGTGTCCAGAAATCGAATTGGAATGTGTTCTATGGTCCTTTAGGCATCTTTCCAGCAATTTTCAAGCCATTTCATTTTTTGGCCAAAATTGAAAAAAAATACAAGGGGTAAGCCTTACTTTTTTGATGAAATTTGGCCAAAAAATGAATTTTCTTCAAACTATGCAGAAATTCTTTAAAAGGCAAGAGGAGCATCAATCAACATTCAAACACCAAATATATTGAAGATTTGGGCAAATATCATCGATATTTAGAGGAAAATAAATCATTAATTTTGACTGATTTCACCCCAAATTTTCGGACATTTTATTTTGAAAAGCAAATGTGTCCAGAAATCGCATTGGAATGTGTTCTATGGTCCTTTAGGCATCTTTCCAGCAATTTTCAAGCCATTTCATTTTTTGGCCAAAATTGAAAAAAATACAAGGGGTAAGCCTTACTTTTTTGATGAAATTTGGCCAAAAAATGAATTTTCTTCAAACTATGCAGAAATTCTTTAAAAGGCAAGAGGAGCATCAATCAACATTCAAACACCAAATATATTGAAGATTTGGGCAAATATCATCGATATTTAGAGGAAAATAAATCATTAATTTTGACTGATTTCACCCCAAATTTTCGGACATTTTATTTTGCAAAGCACATGTGTCCAGAAATCGAATTGGAATGTGTTCTATGGTCCTTTAGGCATCTTTCCAGCAAGTTTCAAGCCATTTCATTTTTTGGACAAAATTGAAAAAAATACAAGGTGTAAGCCTTACTTTTTTGATGAAATTTGGCCAAAAAATGAATTTTCTTCAAATTATGCAGAAATTCTTTAAAAGGCAAGAGGAGCATCAATCAACATTCAAACACCAAATATATTGAAGATTTGGGCAAATATCATCGATATTTAGAGGAAAATAAATCATTAATTTTGACTGATTTCACCCCAAATTTTCGGACATTTTATTTTGAAAAGCAAATGTGTCCAGAAATCGCATTCGAATGTGTTCTATGGTCCTTTAGGCATCTTTCCAGCAAGTTTCAAGCCATTTCATTTTTTGGCCAAAATTGAAAAAAATACAAGGGGTAAGCCTTACTTTTTTGATGAAATTTGGCCAAAAAATGAATTTTCTTCAAACTATGCAGAAATTCTTTAAAAGGCAAGAGGAGCGTCAATCAACATTCAAACACCAAATATATTGAAGATTTGGGCAAATATCATCGATATTTAGAGGAAAATAAATCATTAATTTTGACTGATTTCACCCCAAATTTTCGGACATTTTATTTTGAAAAGCAAATGTGTCCAGAAATCGCATTGGAATGTGTTCTATGGTCCTTTAGGCATCTTTCCAGCAAGTTTCAAGCCATTTCATTTTTTGGCCAAAATTGAAAAAAAATACAAGGGGTAAGCCTTACTTTTTTGATGAAATTTGGCCAAAAAATGAATTTTCTTCAAACTATGCAGAAATTCTTTAAAAGGCAAGAGGAGCGTCAATCAACATTCAAACACCAAATATATTGAAGATTTGGGCAAATATCATCGATATTTAGAGGAAAATAAATCATTAATTTTGACTGATTTCACCCCAAATTTTCGGACATTTTATTTTGAAAAGCAAATGTGTCCAGAAATCGCATTGGAATGTGTTCTATGGTCCTTTAGGCATCTTTCCAGCAAGTTTCAAGCCATTTCATTTTTTGGCCAAAATTGAAAAAAAATACAAGGGGTAAGCCTTACTTTTTTGATGAAATTTGGCCAAAAAATGAATTTTCTTCAAACTATGCAGAAATTCTTTAAAAGGCAAGAGGAGCATCAATCAACATTCAAACACCAAATATATTGAAGATTTGGGCAAATATCATCGATATTTAGAGGAAAATAAATCATTAATTTTGACTGATTTCACCCCAAATTTTCGGACATTTTATTTTGAAAAGCAAATGTGTCCAGAAATCGCATTGGAATGTGTTCTATGGTCCTTTAGGCATCTTTCCAGCAAGTTTCAAGCCATTTCATTTTTTGGCCAAAATTGAAAAAAAATACAAGGGGTAAGCCTTACTTTTTTGATGAAATTTGGCCAAAAAATGAATTTTCTTCAAACTATGCAGAAATTCTTTAAAAGGCAAGAGGAGCGTCAATCAACATTCAAACACCAAATATATTGAAGATTTGGGCAAATATCATCGATATTTAGAGGAAAATAAATCATTAATTTTGACTGATTTCACCCCAAATTTTCGGACATTTTATTTTGAAAAGCAAATGTGTCCAGAAATCGCATTGGAATGTGTTCTATGGTCCTTTAGGCATCTTTCCAGCAAGTTTCAAGCCATTTCATTTTTTGGCCAAAATTGAAAAAAAATACACCCATTATTTTGAAGATTTTGAAGAAAATTCATTTCGATGATATTTGCCCAAATCTTCAATATATTTGGTGTTTGAATGTTGATTGACGCTCCTCTTGCCTTTTAAAGAATTTCTGCCTTACTTTTTTGATGAAATTTGGCCAAAAAATGAATTTTCTTCAAACTATGCAGAAATTCTTTAAAAGGCAAGAGGAGCATCAATCAACATTCAAACACCAAATATATTGAAGATTTGGGCAAATATCATCGATATTTAGAGGAAAATAAATCATTAATTTTGACTGATTTCACCCCAAATTTTCGGAAATTTTATTTTGAAAAGCAAATGTGTCCAGAAATCGCATTGGAATATGTTCTATGGTCTTTTAGGCATCTTTCCAGCAAGTTTCAAGCCATTTCATTTTTTGGCCAAAATTGAAAAAAATACAAGGGGTAAGCCTTACTTTTTCGATGAAATCTGGCAAAAAAATGAATTTTCTTCAAACTATGCAGAAATTCTTTAAAAGGCAAGAGGAGCATCAATCAACATTCAAACACCAAATATATTGAAGATTTGGGCAAATTTCATCGATATTTAGAGAAAAATAAATCATTAATTTTGACTGATTTCACCCCAAATTTTCGGAAATTTTATTTTAAAAAGGAAATGTGTCCAGAAATCGAATTGGAATGTGTTCTATGGTCCTTTAGGCATCTTTTCAGCAATTTTCAAGCCATTTCATTTTTTTGGCCAAAATTGAAAAAAATACAAGGGGTAAGCCTTACTTTTTTGATGAAATTTGGCCAAAAAATGAATTTTCTTCAAACTATGCAGAAATTCTTTAAAAGGCAAGAGGAGCATCAATCAACATTCAAACACCAAATATATTGAAGATTTGGATAAATATCATCGATATTTAGAGAAAAATAAATCATTAATTTTGACTGATTTCACCCCAAATTTTCGGACATTTTATTTTGCAAAGCACATGTGTCCAGAAATCGAATTGGA